GATTTGATATATGTATACAAGTTGGAGCAAAAGTAGGTTTACAATTGCTCATATGAAAAATAATACAATAATTAAGAAATAATAATATAAGAATAAACTGTTGCCCATACTCTCAATTGTATGCAAAAATACCCTATATACTCTATATATTTACCACAATGAATTTAGTTAACATCCATCACCACACATGATATTTAAAAAACATTTATATTTTTCTAAATCCACAATGTAGAAAACTAGGAAAAGTATGGGAAAGTACAACTTTAAAAAGTTCTTTGAAATCCCATTACTCCTTTATATGTTTATCATTTGAGTTTTTCAATGTATATGAAATAACATGCAAAATGTGCAAAAATTATACATTTTAGAACTGGAAGGTAGCCTTAAAAGTTAATTAGTATAAGTCCCTCATTTTATTTATTTTTTTTATTTTTATTTTTATTTTTAAATATATTTTATTGATTCTTTTACAGAGAGGAAGAGAGAGGGATAGAGAGTTAGAAACATCGATGAGAGAGAGTCATCGATCAGCTGCCTCTTGCATACCTCCCACTGGGGATATGCCCGCAACCAAGGTACATGCCCTTGACCGGAATCGAACCCGGGACCCTTCAGTCCCCAAGCCGACGCTCTATCCATTGAGCCAAACCGGTTTCGGCTAAGTCCCTCATTTTATAGATGAAGAAATTAAGGCCAAGAAAGTTCCAAATTCAAAGTGACTCAGGTAGTTAGTTCATTTGGAGTCAGGAATAGAATCTAGGTTTTTCTTAATTTTTCTGGCAAAATAAAATTTGTACAAAAACTGGAATCCCCAAAAGTTTAACTCCAAGTTAAAACTCCATTTCCATAAAGGATTCTTCCTAATGATCCTATATAATAAAAGGCTCATATGAAATAGACCGAATGGCGGAATGACCAGCTGCTATGGCACACACTGACCACCAGGGGGCAGACATTCAATGCAGGAGCTTCTCTCTGGTGGTCAGTGCACGTCTACAGGGGGAGTGCTGCTTAGCCAGAAACCGGGCTCATGGTGAGCACAGTGGTGGTGGCAGGAGCCTCTCCTGTTTTGGTAGCAGTGCTATGGATGTCTGACTGTTGGCTTAGGCCCACTCTCCACGGGGAGCAAGCTGTCAGTCAGACATCCCCTGAGGGCACAGGCATCCACCTCTCCACCCCTACTCCAGTGCATGAATTTCGTGCACTGGGCCTCTAGTATTCTTATAATCTTAAAAAAGCAATGTTTTATAGAGAGTGCCTTCATCTTTCTCCTGAATTGTAGTATACAGCATTGTCCCCACTGTGTTTTACAAAACATTGATTCCGTTGGGCGTTACAGATGTAATAAGGAGTGGGCTCTTATTTAGGTAGATTGGAAAACAAAATTAAAGGAGATTCTTATGGAATAATTTCTTGTGATTTTAATGTTATACTAATAGCACAGAATCTCTGGCGTGTTTATGCAAAATATAATATGCAGTATTTAACCTTGGAATCCTTCCTCAGCTCAGTCCCAATATCTTCATGTTCTTTGGAATATGTTTTAGCAAATTAAGCACTATGAGGACTCCCAGGATAGGGAGAAATAAAAGATCTCAATAAAAGACTATTGAGGCCAAAGCAACTTTTTTTTTTTTTATTTTTATTTTTATTTTTTTATTTTTTTATTTTTATTTTATTTTTTATTTATTTATTTATTTATTTTTTAGCAATCTTTATTGTTCATATTATTACAAAGGTTCCTCATTTCTTCCCCCCTCCACCAGGTTCCCACCCCACCCTCCGTCCCCCCCCATCCCCCATTGTCCTCATCCATAGGTGCAGTTTATGTTCAGTCTCTTCTTCCCTCAATTTCCCCAATAGTAAATCCCTTTTCAGATAGTAAATCAGTTACTTAGCATTTTCTCATATCAATAATACCTCCACATGCCCAATGATACACTTCACACACAAGACATTTCCCACTAGGTCAACCAGCCTCATCCAGGCCCCACCCAAGGCACTCACAGATCAACACCCCAGTCCTAAACTAACTCAACACATCCAGATCTAAGCCTTCATCACTTGATTCAGCAGACACTCAAGTTCCCACGAAAGTTTCCAGCCATGTCTGAGAAGCAGCCGTGGGGCAGGGGCAGGCAAGGAGCGAGCTGTTCTGGGCCTGGCTGCTCAGGGCCTGGCCTCTGTTGCTCTGGTTCATTCCACAACCAGCTGCTCCGGGTCTGGTCACTGCCGCTCCCAACCTAGTTGCTCTGGACTTGGCTGCTGCTGCTCCGGGCCTGGCCGCTCCCAGCCTGGCCGCTGCTGCTCCGGGCCTGGCCGCACCCGACCCGGCTGCTCCCCCGGGGCCTGGCCGCTCCCAGCCTGGCAGCCGCTGCTCCGGGCCTGGCCGCACCCGACCCGCCTGCTCCCCCGGGCCTGGCCGCTCCCAGCCTGGAGGCCAAAGCAACTTTGATTGAGGTTATAGTTAAAGTTGTTTTAAAGAAATAAGGGAATACTTTATTTATTTTTTTTTAATTTTTAAAAAAATATATTTTATTGATTTTGTACAGAGAAAGGGAGAGAGATAGAGAGTTAGAAACATGGATGAGAGAGAGTCATCAATCAGCTGCCTCCTGCACACCCCCTACTGGGGATATGCCCGCAACCAAGGTACATGCCCTTGACTGGAATCGAACCCGGGACCCTTCAGTCCCCAAGCCAACGCTCTATCCATTGAGCCAAACCGGTTTTGGTGGAATACTTTATTTTTATTTATTTTCAAATTACAAGTGAAAGTTAAGAATGTCACAGAGGTAGAAGTGGGCCAGCTGGGCTGCACGGACTCAGGAAACAAGGTACAGAGCTTAGGAGAAGAAAGGCAAAAAAGATGCAACCAGGGGGCAGGAAGAGGAGGAATGGCTTGGGCTATAGGAAGTACTTTATTATTATTTTAAAATTTATTTTTCTTGATTTTACAGAGAGGAAGAGTGAAGAATACTGAGTTAGAAACATCAATGAGTTCATCAGCTGCCTTCTGCAAGCCCCCTGCTGGGGATGGAGTCTACAGCCAAGGTATATGCCCTGGCTGGAATCAAACTCAGAACTCTTCAGTCCCTGGGGGCCACTTAGCCAAACTGGTTAGGACATGTAAGATAGTACTTAAAATGGAAGGAATATATGATTCAAGTGACTAACAATGTTTTAAAGTGTTCTTTAATTTATTAAAGAATAAGACAAGAGCCCTAGCTGATTTGGCTCAGTGGATAGTGTGGGCCTTTGGACTGAAGGGTCCTGGGTTTGATTCCGGTCAAGTGCACATGCCGGGGTTGTGGGCTCCATCCCCAGTGGGAGTGTGCAGGAGGCAGCTGATCAATGGTTCTCATCATTGACATATCTACCTCCCTCTCCCTCTCCCTTCCTTTCTGAAATCAATAAAAAAATACTTTTTAAAAAATAATAAGACAAGAATAGCTCAGAAACCAGACAATATTACACAAAATTATTACCAGAATACAATGTATAACATTTTATGTACTCCCTCCTTTCTAATTTTTACCCTTTATTTTACATAATGTAATTATAGTATACTCAGTTTTGTATTACCTTTCTTTTTAAAAAACAATATATTATTTGATTGATTTCAGAGAGGGAGAGATAGAAACATCAATGATGAGAATCATTGATTAGCTGCCTCCTGCAAGCCCACAATCTGAGCCCACAACCCAAAGACCCGAATCAAACCCAGTCCACAGGCCCACGCTCTATCCACTGAATCAAACCAGCTAGGGCTGGAATACAAATTAATGTAATTTTAAAAAAAGTGGGCGTTTTAAATGAAAATTCCTTTAAAACGTGCATACTCTGATCTACCAATTGTAGTTCTAATAATTTAAGGAAATAAGGAATGATGTGCAAGGATGTTCACAGCAACATGGGTTATAAAAGGGAAAAATAAAACAAAACAACGTAAGTATCCAATATAGGTGTACAACTGAACACAAAACCCACTCAGTACAAATAATGTGGATTATTTAATGACTTAAAAAGCACACCATGCGTGTGTGCTGAGCACACCATTTAACCTCACAACAAACTTTTAAAATAGGTACATTATTCAATTAAAAAAATACATATATTTTATTGATTTTACACAGAGAGGAATTGAGAGGGATAGATAGTTAGAAACGTCGATGAGAGAGAAACACCGACCAGCTGCCTCCTGCACACCCCCTACCGGGGATGTGCCCGCAACCAATATACATGCCCTTGACCGGAATCGAACCTGGGACCTTTCAGTCCACAGACCGACGCTCTTCCACTGAGCCAAACCGGCCTCGGCACATTATTCAATTTTTACAATATAAACAATTTAACTTGCCCAAGATCACAAAAAAATAAGTAATGAAGCCAGGATTCAAAAGGAGGCTATCTGAATCTCGAGCCCGCGAGCCTTCCCACGCCCCCTACCTCCTAGCTTCGGTGCAGAACGGGGGTACCACCCTCCCCCTCCCCGGGCTGCCGTGAGACTCACATGAAATAATAAACACAAAGTCCCAGGAACACAGTGGCATCCACTATTCGGAAGCTGCTAAATAACTCAAGGTCTCACAGTCCGTGGTGGAACCAGGACTTAAAGCGAGCTCTGAATCTTGTGCTTTCCGGGAGAGCGGAGGGACCGAAAACCTTTTCTTGGCTTCCACTCCTGAAGCAGAGTCAGTACGGACCTTCCCTCGGCCCCGTACCGTGCGCCCGGGGTCAGCGAACACCCGACGGGCCTCTCCAAAAAGGAGGGGCGCCCGCAGTCGCTTCAGGAAGAGTTAAACTCTATCAGCTTCTCTCACCTGCCAAGCTTGCTGCTTCCGGACTCTGCGCCCCGCCCCGGAAGTGACGTTATCACCACGCGCCGGAAGTGAGCTTGCGGACAGGGACCTGCCGTCGCAGACGCAGGGGTTCCTGAGAGGCTCTGTGGGCCTCCTTAGAGACAGAACAACTTCCCGGCGCTAGTGGCGTCCGGTGCCATGACGGCCCAGGGGAGCCTGGTGGCCAACCGAGGCCGGCGCTTCAAGTGGGCCATTGAGCTGAGCGGGCCTGGAGGAGGCAGCAGGTGAGGCGCCTGGGCGGAGGGCCTCGCCCCCCCCCCGGGACTACCCCCGGGGCATGGGCCCTGGGCTGGATGGGGGCGGCACATCGACGACGCCTGGGCAGCCAGCGGGAGGTTTTTGTGCCCAAAGGATGCTTAGTTCAGTCTTCCCAATGGGCAGGGACTTGTCGAACCTACAGGAGGGATTGATGTAATCTGGGTAGATGCACCTGAAGATCTTAACTCCTATGAGTAATAGAACAGGAAAGTGGGAGCCCACAGCTTTAGTTTTGTTATTTTTTCTATGTTTTTAAAAAATATTTTTGAGCCCTAGCCGGTTTTGCTCAGTGGATAAAGCGTCGGCCTGAGAACTGAAGGGTCCCAGGTTCGATTCCGGCCAAGGGCACATGCCCTGATTGTGGGCTCGATCCCCAATAGGGGGCATGCAGGAGGCAGCCCATCAATGATTCTCTCACATCATTGATGTTTCTATATCTCTATCCCTCTCCCTTCCTCTCTGAAATCAATAAATATGTTAAAATATATTTTTATTGATTTTAGAGAGGAGGGAAAGGGATAGAGAGAGAGAGAAACATCAATGAGAGAAAATCATTGATTGGCTGCCTCCTGTAGGCCCCCTACTGGGAATCGAGCCCACCAAATGGGCCTGTGCCCTGACCAGAATCCAACCCTGACCTTCTGGTTCATAGGTCAGCACTCAACCACTGAGGCATGCCTGCTGGTTGAGCAGCCTGTTTCTTGATTTGCTTTTTTAGGGGCCGAAGTGACCGGGGCGGTGGTCAGGGAGACTCGCTGTACCCAGTTGGTTACTTGGACAAGCAAGTGCCGGATACCAGCGTGCAAGAGACAGACCGGATCCTGGTGGAGAAGGTACAGAGGTATAGATGTCACCAAAGTTTTGGGGCTAGTCCTGCCCTACCCACTCACTCTTCTCTCCTAGGCAGCAAAAGAATATCTTATGGTAGATGGGCCTTATTCTGAAACAGTTTACATATCAGCTCCAAAATGCTGAATTGGAAAAAGAAAAGACATTTAGAACCTTAGGCATAAGAAAGTAGGTTGAAAATTATTTATTGGTGGCAGTTGAAGTCATCCTTTTGTACCCCAATTTCCTTACACCAATAACCTCTCAGGAAATTCTGTTGGCTTTATCTTCAAAATAGATTCAAAATCTTACTTCTTATTACTTTCACCTATCATCCTGGTCTAAGCCACCCAGATGTCTTCATTATTGTGGGAGCGGTATGTGCATTGTAGGATGTTTAACAGAATGCCTGGCCTCTGCCTATTGGATGCTAAAAGTGCCCTTCCCCAGTTGGGACAACCAGAATGTCTCCAGCATTACCAAATGTCTCCAGGGAGGTAAATTGCCCCCTGTTGAGAACCACTGATTTTTAAAGAGCGCTGTCTGATTAGTGTATACCACCTTGAAACCTCGACTATCTTGAAAGAACATTTTCTTCATTTCCAAAGATGCCTTTTGCCCCTCTCTGCCACAGATTTCTAATTGGTTTCACTATTCCCCCCTGTAGTCTATTCCCAGCACAGCAGCCAGTACTATGGCCCTTTTAAAACATGAGTCAGATGATTTCTATTAAAACTCTTCACTAACTCATTTCACTTACTGTAAAAGCAAAAGTCTTTGTAAAGTTCTAAGTAACTCTACATTGACTAAGCCCCTTGTAACATCTTTGACTTAATCTATCATATTCCCCTTTATTTTATTAAATATTTTTAGGTTAATTTTTATTATTATTTTTTTTAAATGGAATTTTATATCCATTTTTTTTTTATATTTTATTGATTTTGTACAGAGAGGAAGGGAGAGAGATAGAGAGCTAGAAACATCGATGAGAGAGTCATTGATCAGCTGCCTCTTGCACACCCCCTACTGGGGATATGCCGGCAACCAAGGTACATGCCCTTGACCAGAATCGAACCCGAGTCCCTTCAGTCCCCAAGCTGACGCTCTATCCATTGAGCCAAACAGGTCTCGGCATTTAGGTTAATTTTTAGAGAGAGAGTAAGGGAGAGGGAGAGGAACATTGATGTGAGAGGGAAACATCAATAGGCCGCCTCCTGTACACCTCCTACTGGGAATCAAGCCTGAAACCCAGGCATGTGCCCTGATAGGGATGGAACTGGCAACCTTTCAGTGCACCAGATGACACCCAATCAACTGAGCCACATTGGCCAAAGCTAATATTATTTTTTAATCCTCAACCAACGACATGTTTTTATTGATTTTTAGAGAGAGAGAATGGGGGACGGGGGAGAGAGAGAATCATCAATGGCAGAGAAAAACATTGATGGCTGCCTCCTATAGCTGCCCCAACCTGGGATTGAACTTGAAACCCTTTGGTATATGGGACAACTCTCCAACCAACTGAGCCACTGGTCCAGGGCTACCACTTTCCCCTCTGCTCACTACTACCTAGTCAGATTAGCTTCCTTGCTGTTCCTTAAATATGCCAGGAAGCTCCCATCTAAGGATTTTTGTACTTTTTTCCTCTCCTGAATACTCTTCCCCCAGCACCTTTATGGCTTTCTCTCATCTCAATGAAACCTGTCCTTATGGCACTCCCTGCGTGTCATTCATATATATGATACAGTTTACTTATTTTACTGCCTATCTTTTCATTATTGTAAGCTCCAGGTTTTTGTCTAGAACAGTGCCTGCACTTTTTTCCTCTCAACCTTGCTATTCATTACTAAGTGATCGTTGTTTCAAGAAATTCCAGTGATTTTCACATGAAAATGACGGCTATTCTCAATTTTTTTCTTGATAAATATAATTTTTCATCTTGGTATCAATTTGTATGATAACATAATACATGATAGTAAAAGTATTAACATGGCCTGGTTTTAAAGTAGATTGTCATAAAATACTTTAGTTCTGTTGTATGAATGATTTGATATTTAAGCTTACAAATGATCTATGTAAATGACACATTGGGAAACTATTTACAAGTATTGGTATTTATTCTTTTAATGTGAGTAAACACAAGTGGGTAGTGGTATATTATTTTTATATAGGTAGATTTGCTTTAATATTTTATTTTATTTTTTTTTTTTAAATATATTTTATTGATTTTGTACAGAGAGGAAGGGAGAGAGATACAGAGTTAGAAACATCGATGAGAGAGTCATCGATCAGCTGCCTCTTGCACACCCCCTACTGGGGATATGCCCGCAACCAAGGTACATGCCCTTGACCGGAATCGAACCCGGGACCCTTCAGTCCCCAAGCCGACGCTCTATCCATTGAGCCAAACCGGTCCCGGCTGCTTTAATATTTTACTTAGGATTTTTGCATTAGTTCATGACTAATAGTGGTCTATAAACTTTTCTCATAATGTCCTTGAAGGTTTTGGTATTTATGAGGTCCTATGTAATGAGTTGTAGAGTGTTCATTTTTATTCTCTAAGTTTGTATAAGATTAATTATATTTTATCTGGCTGGATAAAATATATTTTTTTTAAAAATGACACATAGCCGAGACCGGTTTGGCTCAATGGATAGAGCGTCGGCTTGGGGACTGAAGGGTCCCGGGTTCGATGTTTGAAATTTGCCAAGGAAAATCATCTGACGGGCATACAAATTCAGTTTCTTAAAATAGTTATGGCATTATTTATATTTCTAATTTCTTACACCATTTAGATAAATTGTATTTTATTTTTTTTAGGAATTGTACCGTTTCCTAAAATTCATAGTATGATCATTGTATTATCTGCAAAACCTATGGAGATGTCCCTTTTTCATTCCTGTTGAATATTTATCTTCCATCCTTTTTTCTTCAGCAGGCTCACCAGTATAATGTTATTAATTTAAAAAAACAACAAAAACAACCATTGGCTTGATTTAATGACTATCTCACTAGTTACTACTCTCATTTTTTTCCTTTTCATTTGTTCTTTTTCTAACTTATTGAAATAGATGCTTAGTTTATTTTTATTGTTCTAATCTGAATTTAAAGCTATAAATTTCTCAGACTTCTAGCTATGTTCTACAGGTATTAAAATGTATTTTGATCAGTTAAAACATTTATATTTTCCATTATAATTTCTTTGATTAATTATTTTAGAGTACATTTGTTAATTTCAACTCATAATGGATTTTGAGTTATCTATTTGTTATTGAATTCTAGCTTGATTGCATGATAATCAAAGAACATGCTTTGTATAACTTGAGTTAAGTTCCTGAAAAACCCATAGGGAAAAACATGACACATGCCAGAACTGGTTTGGCTCAGTGGATAGAGCTTTGGCCTGTGTACTGAAAGGTCCCAGGTTTGATTCTGGTCAAGGGCATGTACCTTGGTTGCGGGCACATCCTCAGTAGGGGGTGTGCAAGAGGCAGTTGATCTATGATTCTCTCTCATCGATGTTTCTAACTCTCTATCCCTCTCTCTTCCTCTGTAAAAAATCAATGATATCTATATCTATATATCTATGTATCTATCTATATATATATATATTTTTTAAATCAATCTTTATTGTTCATATTATTACGAAGGTTCCTCATTTCTTCCCCCCCCTCCACCAGGTTCCCACCCCACTCTCTGCCCTTTCCCCACCCCCCATTGTCCTCATCCATAGGTGCACAGTTTATATTCAGTCTCTTCCCGAATCCACCATTCCCCTTTTCCCTGAGAATTGTCAATCCACTCCCCTCCTGTATCTCTGATTCTTTTATAATCAACAGTTAATATTGTTCATCAGTTTTTTTAATTTCCTTTTTTTTTAATTAATAAACTTTTATATTTTTAAGAATAAATTTTAAAATCTAATAATTTTAAACCTTGTTTTTTTCTGCTCTGGGAACTGAGAAGCACACTTGTTTACATGTAAACTTGCCCTTAGGCTATCAAAAGGTGTAGCCATTCAAATGTAAATGAACACAGTGTTTAAAGATAGCTGCTGGCTGGAATTGGATTACCTGTTCTGGGTGGGAAGGGCTTGTCCTCCCTTTCTCCATTAAAATTAAGGTGTTAGCTTTAAAACCTCTTTTTGGCAAGAGACCTTAAACTTTCAGAACTTTAAATTTTTCAGATAGTAAATCAGTTACTTAGCCTTTTCTCAAAATAATAATACCTCCACATGCCCAAGGATACACTTCACACAAGACACTTCCAAATAGATCAACCAACCTCATCCAGACCCCATACAAGGCACTCACAGATCAACACCCCAGCGCTACAATAACTCAACACATCCAGATCTAAGCCTTCATCGCTTGATTTAGCAGACTCTCAGGTTCCCTCAAAAGTTTTGAGCCATGTCTGAGAAACAACCCTGGGGCATGGGCTGGCGAGGAGCGAGCTCTTCCGGGCCTGGCCTCTGTTGCTCTGGTCCATTCCACAACCAGCTGCTCCGGGTCTGGCCGCTGCTGCTTGGGGCCCAGTTGCTGCCTCTCCGGGCCTGGATGCTGCTGCTCCAGGCCTGGCTGGATAAAATATATATATTTTTAAAAAATGACACATAGCCGAGACCGGTTTGGCTCAATGGAAAGCTCGGCTTGGGGACTGAAGGGTCCCGGGTTCAATTCTGGTCAAGGGCATGTACCTTGGTTGCGGGCATATCCCCAGTCGGGGGTGTGCAAGAGGCAGCTGATCGATGACTCTCATCGATGTTTCTGACTCTATCTCTCTCCCTTCCTCTCTGTACAATATCAATAAAATATATATATATTTTTTTAAAAAAATGACACATAATGAGGATGCCTTATCTTTAGTGGAAGAGCAGGCTTCCTGTAGTGATGTAGTGGTGGCCAGAGGTGGTGAAATTGAGGTGTCAGCTCAGTCAGATGCACAAAATTGAAAATTGTATTCATTTGATACAATAAATGTGGGACAGGGTAGTGCTCAGTGGTTAAAATTGTGTCTTTGTTTCAGCGCTGTTGGGACATTGCCTTGGGTCCCCTCAAACAGATTCCCATGAACCTCTTCATCATGTACATGGCAGGCAATACTATCTCCATCTTTCCTACGATGATGGTGTGTATGATGGCTTGGCGACCCATTCAGGCACTTATGGCCATTTCAGCCAGTAAGTATTCTTGAACTAATAACTCTTACAAAAGTTTTAAGAATTAAAGGTAAATTCTTAGGCAAAACCCCTATTGGAAATCTTTGCATGGCTCTTGGCTAGTAGCAGAGAGGGTGTAGGGACGGTGATGGTAGTGGTGGAGACATGGAGGGGAAAACAGTGCATCATGGATTTTGTTCACCTTAATAGTTCTGTTTGCTATTTTACTGTGGGCTGGTGTGTATTATTTATATCTTAATTAACGTGCCTGATTCATAATTTTTTAAAAAGTTGTTTTGGCACTTTGTTTTTCTAACAGCTTTCAAGATGCTAGAAAGTTCAAGCCAGAAGTTCCTGCAGGGTTTGGTGTATCTCATTGGAAATCTCATGGGTTTGGCATTGGCTGTTTATAAGTGCCAGTCCATGGGACTGTTGCCTACACACGCCTCAGACTGGTTAGCCTTCATTGAACCTCCTGAGGTAAGGCAGAAGAAAAGTTAACTTTGGTGCCAGTTGTAATGGACAGTAAATAGTTGATCCATTTGATGTAGGGGATTAGAATTGGTAGAGCGAAATTTCCTATTTAATCCTCACCCAAGAGAGAACGAAAGGGAGGATGGATGGGGGTAGAAAAAAGGGGGAGGGGGGAGGGAGAAAGAGAGAGAAACACACAGAGAGAGAAAAACATTGATGTGAGAGACACACATTGATAGGTTGTCTCCAGCATGTGCCCGGACCTGGGCCCGGGAGTTAAACCCTCGACCCTTCGGCGTGTGGGGCTCATACTCTAATGCGTGAGCAGTGCCAGCCAGGGCTAGAGCTCATTTCTTAAGAAATAAGATCCATCAGGAGTCTGGAAGTTATTTTTAAAGGATAAAATAACTTGTGATTAAAGTATTAAGTACTTGATTCAGGAAGTTATTTCAGCGCTCATCCCCACTCACCTATTCTTTCTTGTTTCAGAGGATGGAGTTCAGTGGTGGTGGACTGCTTTTGTGAACCTGAGAAAGAAGCAACTGGTGATTATGTGTTTGGATCTCATTTACAACCTTCTTTACACCCAGTGATGATTCCTCAGGATCTTCACCCCTAACATTATCACTCGTGCTGAGAAGAATCGCAAGCACCCTTTTTTCCAGACATCCTAGAAAGATAATGTATATATCACTACAAACAAAGAAACTATGCCACAACCCTTGACTGAAAATAATGTAGAAAACTTTATTTATGTTTTCAGTATAGAGCAAAACAACAAGTAAAACCATAACTATGTAAACAAAAGAATAGTTGCTGCTAAACCAAGAACCACAGCAGCATCTCCTTTCAATAAATTAAACAACAATCAAGAACAATGCTTTAAAAAATTATATCGGTTTCTAATAAATCTGTTTTCCTTAATATTTCACTTCTATTTAACATAAGCTGGGACATAAAACTTCTGTTGGAGACACTTGTGGAAGGTGTGAGTAACTAAAGCTGGATTCTGATTATACATGATGAAAAGGAAAATAAACCAGACAAAAAAACACATAAATATGCTTACAGTAAATTACTACTTTAATATCCACAATGGATTTTTAATACATTTAGGGGGAATGAGAATTGGAGAAATCGCTGGGGCCACAGGAATCTGAGGCAACGGAAGTATCAAAGTAGGCATCTTTCCCCTGCCAAGAGGAACCTGGTACCTGTCAAGCAGATGCTGCAGTTCAAACTTCAGCTTTTAAGAAAGCTATAGAAGGCAGAGGGCCAGCAATTGGAAAATGTATGTTATCATAACCTGCCCTGGTAAAGTCATAGCTCAGACTTAAAAGTTGGATCTTATTCAAAAGGCAGGAGGAAGTCTTTTTCTCTTCCTTCTTGAAACAAAACCCCTTCCCCTAAGGTGCATTCTTGTTTAGTTTTCGGTATTGCTTTATTTGCAGTGATTAAAAGAGACAAGGTACTTTGTAGACAAACAACATATGCAACACAGAGACATGAAATACTCTAGAGATGAGTTTAAATCTGGCCTAGTAACCATTTTCCCATGTAACAATGATTTTGTATTTAAGGGCTGAAGTAGTGGCTATATTAATAGCTATGAATTCCCTTATCCCTTTAAAAGATTTTTATAGAGCTCTAACCACAAAATGCTTTTAAAACTAACCTTAACTTCTGCCCATATTTTTTCTGTATGGAAATATATATAAATATCACTTTGGCCAGAAGGTGTGTGTAAATTCCTGGACCGGCAGACTTTTAGAGCATGGATCTTCAATATTTCGAGTCCTGGGGAACCTGTCTAAACAATGGACTCAACTAAACAATGGAGTGTTGCAATGGAAGCAGTAATAATGCTTCTACCCTCTGCAGGAAGGAGCAGAATAAAAGACAAAAATTCTGTCTGCTTTGCTACCATGACTGTGCCTGAAGGTTGAAAGAAAAGTAAAAGGAATACATTGAAATGACAATTTTTTAAGTCATACTTAAGGGTTTTCTCTGTAAAGGTCAAATGAATAGTCTGCTGGTACCTAGGTCAGCTTGCTCCATTATCCTAAGGATAATAAAAAGGGCCATTATTGATCAATAAAATGAAATTCTAAAGCCATAAGTATAGGCAGTTTTTCTAAATAACTTATCCTCATATATTTGAAGTTACCAGTCACACAGAATAATTTTGTTATGCTTGAAAAAATGTGTTTTTGTGATCAATAAATTACCAAATAAGCTAAGCTTGCATAAATATTTCCATAATATACTTAAAGCTTCTAAAGCAAAACTGAAATAGCAGTAGACCATTGGCTTGGACAGTCTCCTAGTTTAGAGCCACGTTTCTGCAGTCACAATGAAGAATTAAAATTGAAAGGAAAATGCGCATACTTGGCATTTAGGTGAGTGCCTCAAGTCTTCACTATGGCTTTAGAAATGAGTTCACTGGTTTCTTAGTGGAAGAAGTTACTTGAATAGGCCAATGCCAATGTATGCCACCTTAATGAACTAGGTAAGTGAGTAGCAGCATCTCAATAACTTTGGCACTATTGAAGGAATAAGACTCTAGAACTCTGAATTCCATTGCTGGATTTCCCCTTGAAAAGATAGAAACCTTTTAGGAAAGTTAGCCAAGCTTCCTAGTGTTTGTTCCTATGATTTTTTACCTGTGTCTGCTAACCCAGAGGACATAAAAGGAGGAAAGGTGAACCTATGGTCAGTGTACATCGTTATCTGTATTAGAAAATAGCTTGTATGTTTGCCCATGTCACATAGGTAACCAGATTATATTTCAGTAAATCTTAATAGTTATTTTAGGATTTCCTTAATTTGGCCATTTGAAAAGAACTTGAAAGAAGTAATTTTTACTCCATTTTTAAAACTCCACGTTAACACTGCCTACATTACAATCTTAATCACAGAGTGGGGTTTGAAAACAAAAAGCTGAAATATTCAACAACCCAGTATGTGTACATACACTGCTTTTGGGGGAAATCTTGTTTTGGAGGACGAAGTGGAAGCTGCAGCCATATTTCAGATTTTGTATATCAGTACCCTGATATAAAATTAGAGTCCTGCAGAGCAGTGGATACACTCAAGAAAATTAGCTAAAAAAGGTTTCATCTTGGCTTGCCATAGGTTATCTTCACCGGGATGTTAGGTCATCATACAGTTGGCCATGAATTCCTTAGAATGACGACTTTTTTTTCTCTGTTGAACCATGACTTCTGAGACTCATCTTTGGTTATGTACTTGCTTTTTGTCTTCAGTTACATTTCTGGTATGCCTTCTGACAATTCATTTTATTGGTTAGCTTGTTAATTCTAACTCGCCTTCAACTGGTATAGCTATGGCTTTAGTAATTGATCATTTTTCTAATGTTGAGGGAATATTTGCTTCCAAAAGGGGGGCAGATTGTATGGAAGCAAAGAGCAGAACTGTTGTTAAATTTTTGCACAAGTACTTGAGGCTCAGCTTGTTAAGAATTCATTCAGATGATGTGTATAGGACACAGGCCTCTAGTTGGTAGGACTGGTAGTAAAGAGCTGGCACTCATGGAGGATAGAAGCCTTTTAGGAAACAAAGCCAGGCAGAGTCATTCAGGAGGGAATTATGAGTAAATGGTGATCACTTCACTGCCACCTCCTCGGACCAGGAGGACGCGCTCTAGTCCCTCGGTGAGCACTTCTAGGAACTCCATGTCTTCGGGGTTTGTCAAGGAGACAAAGGTAGAAGAACACACTTTACAACCTGTACCATGATAATCAGAGTTTATCTGATTAGGAAGCTAAAAAAATCAACATGCTTGTGTTAATTATTGCATACTCAGAATTGGAAGACTGTACTTTGTAATTCAATCTCACCCTATGAATTAATCCAAGGATCTAGTCCCTTTGCATATATAATACAAGACTTTTCCACTTGTTACATTTTTTTTCTAAATATTTTTTAGAAATAGGGAAAACACACAAGTAATGTGTAATATATTATGTAGCAAAATAAGCTAAGAAAGGAAAAGCCACAACAGGCAGATCATTCAGATTTTCTAGAGAGAACCCAAGTTTTTTCTAAGTGAAGTTACTCAAGTAGAATTTTTCTGCCAGCTCTTTTTTCCTTTTAAAAAAAAATATCTTCCTTACTGGTGGGAATGGGTCAGGTGTCACCATGGCAGTGCTGAAGCGGTCTCAAAAAATCCTGTTGTTTTTGTTTTTTTTTCCTTTATCTCCCCCCCACCCCCCAAAGGAGGGTCCACTTCAGCTGCTTCTCCCCTAATGCCACCCAGAAGAAAGAGGTTTTGCCAAGTGGGTAGAGCCTGAAAAGGAGAAAGGATATGGGGATTCTGTCTCTGGGATTGTCAGCAAGGGTTCCATACACAATATTAGAAGTAACATTGCAAATATACTGTACCTAAAAAAAGTCTCTAGGGTTCAGAGAGAACATATTATAATCCCAACTCTTTAAAGGAAAATTAATCTCACTGCTTTGTAAGATTCCTTGTCTAATAAGACTTTTAAAAGTCTCCCTCTTCCCAGGCCTGGAACAGCCGGGTCTTGTGTGGCCAGGCCCGGAGCAGCGGCTGCCAGGCTGGGAGCGGCCAGGCCCGGAGCAGCCGGGTCGGGTGCGGCCAGGCCCAGAGCATCAGCAGCCAAGTCCAGAGCAACTAGGTCGGGAGAGGCAGTGACCAGACCCGGAGCAGCTGGTTGTGGAACGAACCAGAGCAACAGAGGCCAGGCCTGGAGCAGCCAGGCCCAGAACAGCTCGCTCCTCGTCTGCCCCTGCCCCACGGCTGCCTCTCAGACATGGCTGGAAACTTTTGCAGGAATTTGAGGGTCTGCTGAATCAAGTGATGAAGGCTTAGATCTGGATGTGTTGCGTTAGTATAGGGCTGGGGTGTTGATCTGTGAGTTCCTTGAGTGGGGCCTGGATGAGGCTAGTTGACCTATTGGGAAATGTTTTTTGTGTGAAGTGTATCATTGGGCATGTGGAGGTATTATTGATATGAGAAAATGCTAAGTAACTGATTTACTATCTGAAAAGGGATTTACTATTGGGGAAAGGGAGGGAGGAAGAGACTGATCATAAACTGTGCACCTATGGATGAGGACAATGGGAGATGGGGAGGGGGCGGAGGGTGGGTGGAAACCTGGTGGAGGGGGCAAGAAATGAGGAACCTTTGTAATAATATGAACAATAAAAATTGATTAAAAAAAAAAAAAGTCTCCCTCTTCAAGAGGAAAATTTTGGCAGGAATGATCACTCACAGCGACCAAGTAGTCACATTTAAAAAGCAAGCTAAGTACGGCCAGTGTGGCTCAGGAGGTCATGGTTTGATTTCCAGTCAGGGCACATGTTTGGGTTTCGGGCTCTATCCCCAGTGGGGGGCAAGCAGGAAGCAGCCAATCAATGATTCTCATCATTGATGTTTCTATCGCCTTCCTCTCTGAAATCAATAAAAATATAAAAATAAAAAGCAAACTAATATTTTCCCTACTGGTAGCTCCACTCTTGGAAAGGATACAGTTTTCGTCACCCTCAGGGTTTCGGGGTGGCCCTGGCATATTCAACAAAACCAACTTTGCTTCATGGGACTTGTTAACTATGACCTCATTGAGCTTCACTGCTGTATGCATCCGCCTCACATTTGACTGGTCCCTGCATATGGAAAGGGGAAGAGGGGGAAGACAAGTGGTTAAGGCAAACAGAAAACGAAGCATATCATCAACAACTTAAAAAAAACTTGAGATATAAAGGTTTTTGCTTTGAGTATGAATGATATAATGAACAAAATGACTTCCTTATAATATAAACGCCTTGGGTTTTCTCATTCTATGTTTGCTTATTTATACCAGGAACATGGTATGAAGAAGGATGGTTACCTTGTGTACAGTGTTAATTGGTAGCTGGTATTGCATAGGCAAACAACAGAGAGATGGCTGCATTTGGGGTAAGATGGACAGATTCCATCTTGTGTATCCTGGCAAAGGCGTATCTGTGGCCCTGATTAGGATACCATTATGTGATAAGCTTGTGAGCTGGAAAACTTACGGACGCATGTTAAGCAGGTCCTGAAATCCTTCCATTGACTTGGCCCTTTGCCCCCGGGATGCCATGTACTTGTCTTTCGTCCAAGTCATGTGCACCTTCTCCTGATAGGTTTCTGTCTCTTCATCCTCATCAGAGCCAATGCTGGTCAGTCGTAGCATTGAATTCCGGTCTTTCACCAACTGTGCCTGTGGAAGGCCCAACACAGCTCTGACTCTATACCCAATTTCCCCTCATGCTTCATTTTTCAATTATTTTTAAACAATAATGTGACTATAGTGGGATAACTGATAAAGTGAGAAGAATTTGTTATCTCATAAAACAATATGGTATCATTCCTTTCAGCGACAGATTTCATAGGCCAGGATCAGATTAATGCATCAAGGTCTCACCTCTCTGTCCCTCTCTGTTTTGGAGAGTCGCATGTGCCGGAGCATCTGGGACCTTTGCTCCATCATCAGAGTACGTTCATAGGTGTAAGCTGATATGTCACTGTCATGCTGCCACATATATCAGAGTGGGCAAGAAACACAAAGGAGAAAGCAGAATGAACCACACATTTTCATCTTCACTCACAAAATTAAACCAGACCAAATTTCACAATGTCGACCAAAGCTTCACTCCTACTTTGTTTAGCCGTTGAGCCACATAAACATGACATTGTGGATCACAGACCAAATCCAGAAGCCCTGAGAATCCTGTCCATATCTAACCATTACATGTTTCTTTAAAACACAAACTCTAGTCTTTTTTAATCTGGTAGGTGTTTTTTTTTTTTTTAAAGCTATGATTTTAGCATGAATACATGAATGAAAACTTAATGAAATTATATTAATCAGACAGAAATCTGACAGAAATATCAGGGCTATTTAACAAAAAAGAAAACAAAAAAATTAAAAAACCACCAAACACATCACATACACATTCTACTTATTTAGATCAATATATTAGGGTTGTGTTGGAACTAAAGGATTAATCCACATTTGCAGGTAAAGAATTCCCAACTAGAAAAGGTACTAGGAGGACAGGACAGGGGTGGGTGAAGGTGTTTCTTTGGTCTCACTCAGCTTTCTCACCATCTCCACCACTTCCACCTCGGCCTCAATGCGCAGGTGATACAGGAAGGTGGCCAGGTCTTTCTTCATCTGAATACTGTTGTCCTCTAGCTGGGCTACTGTGAAGATCCGTATGTTGCATTTTCGCCACACCTGATAAAGGACCGTATGCACATGGGTAATTTTATGTAAGAAGGCAAAAGTGACTTATTTCTTACAAAACAAGGCACTGTTGCCTAGAACATCTTGGTAGAGTACCAGAGTATTGATTCCTAGCTTCCTACTTGCAATATTATTATACTAGGGCAAAAGTTTGACAAGAAACACATTAAATACTGTTTTAAGCAGATCTTATTTTTTTTTTATCCTAACCTGAGGATTTGTTTTTATTGATTTTTTTAAAGAGAGGAAGGACGGGGGAGAGAGAAACATCGCTATGAGAAAAACATTGATCAGTTGCCTCCAGAATGTGACCCACTGGGGATTGAACCCACAACCTAGGTATATGTGTCCTGACTGGGAATAAAACCTTCACAGCTTTTTGGTGTATGGGATGATGCTCCAACCAACTGAGCCACCTGGTCAGAACTGTTTTAAGCAGTTCTTAATTTCATAACAAGAAAACACCTGGCAAAAAAGGAAAAGATGGTGTGTGATACATTAAGAGGGTGTTTTATTCAGAGAGCATATTGACACATGCTTACAGAATATATTATTTTAAATTTCAGTTTAACTGACACACAAACAAGCACGTTTACCCTTGCTTTTCCAAATTCGAAAGACCTTGGTTTTTTTTTTTTGTTTGTTTGTTTTTAAGAAAGTGTTTAGCCAGGCCAGTGTGACTCAGTGGAATGAGTATCGACCTATGAACCAGGAAGTCAGGGTTTGATTCCTGGCCAGGGCACATGCCTGGGTTGTGGGGTTGATCCCTAGTGGGGGAGCATGCCAGAGACAGCCGATCAACGATTCCCTCTCATCACTGATGCCTGCCTCCCTCTCCCTCTCCCTCTCCCTCCCTCCCTCCCTCTCTCTCTCTCTCTCTCTCTCTCTCTCTCTCTCCTCCCTCCCTCCCTCCCTCCCTCCCTCCCTCCCTCCCTCCCTCCCTCCCTCCCTCCCTCCCTCCCTCCCTCTCTTTTCTGAAATCAAAAATAAGATAAAAATACTAAAGAAAAGAAATGTTTACTTGTTAGTGTTTTTTCCAAGACATCACATATAACTATCAATTTATGGGATTTCATTTAGGGAGAGGTAAGTATCAACTACAGAGAAAATATTTCTCATACGATTGAAACTGGAGAGCCAAGAATAATCCCCAACACTTCTGATTCTAAGCCCTAACACTATATAATCAAAGAGGAAGAACTTATCAAATAAATGGGACAGAAGTTAAGGGAGGAAGACTTTTTAAAAAGATGCTAAAATACCTTGTACTGTTTAAGTAGGAATGGTAGCAACATGAGCATCCCCCCGTCATGCACAATCCACCACACGTCAATGTTGCCCTCAGAAAACTGCTCCACGTTGCTGGGAAAGAACGAGATGTTTTTCGCCACTAGCAGGGCCAGATGGGCAGCAGTTGTCACTCGAACTGTGCCTACGGGGAGAAAAGAGAATCAGGACAAGCAGGGAAGAACCTTAGGGTTGCTCTGCTTCCCACCACGGCAGGAAAGCAAGGATAATGTTCCTTTACGTTTCTTTGAGCAAGGTGTCCTATTTACATAGTAGGTGTACCACAAATATGAAAACCACTGTGAAAAAACTAAAAAGCTAACAGAATTAGATTGAATACTGTGATGTATGTTACCAAATACATTCTATTTACTACATTTCTAAGGGGGAATATGTGAATTTGGGAGATTTTGAAGCTGAGGGCAGCTCTTCCAATTCCTGCATCTGGCCGGCACTGAGAATGTCAATTTGGGACTCACAAATATGGCAATTTCAGAGATAATTGCTAACATAAAACCTGACAGACAGACATAATTCATGCACATAATGTAAAGCTAGAAGGGGATGAGTAGAATAAGGTTATCGTTACCAGTAGTTATTTAGGTGTCCTTAAAGAGCATGTTTCAGCAATGGCATGGCGTCTATTAACAAAGCTAGAGGTTGGTGTTAGGGAAACAGGGATTTAACTATCTGCCCTATTTGGGCCCTTGGTATAGTACAGTGATAGGCAAACTCATTAGTCAACAGAGCCAAATATCAACAGTAAAACAATTGAAATTTCTTTTGAGAGCCAAATTTTTTAAACTTAAACTTCTTCTAACGCCACTTCTTCAAAAGTCTCGCCCAGACCGTAGTATTTTGTGGAAGAGCCACACTCAAGGGGCCAAAGAGCATCATGTGGCTCACGAGCCGCAGTTTGCCGACCACAGGTATAGTATAAGAATTGTTTTGTACCAATAAAAGTCTTCCAAGATCGAGAATCTTCGCTCTGGCGCCAGCTATTGGGCCATCCCATCACTACCGTATTGTGCTTCATGCCTCCAAGGCCACACGACTGGATGAGGTGGGAAATGCCCTCTTTCAGCTTGGCAGCCACCACCAGCTGGCAGAATCCTTTCACCTTCTCTGCCTCCATTAGGTGCTTTATGGTCTGCAAGAGAGACAGAACTTCACTGAATTGCTTCATCCTGGACCTTTTAATTACTCCGTCTCCAATTCTACTCCTCTTTCCAAACTCTGCCTAAGATGGTATCTCCTATAGAAAAGCCCAAAAAGTTAACATTATCCCAATGAAATTTCATGATCCTTTGTCTTTTTCACTTTTTTTTTTTTTTAAATCCCCAGCAGAGGATATGTTCATTGACTTCAGAGAGAGAGGAAGGGAAGGAGGGAGGGAGGAAGAAATGGGGAGAGGAAGGGAGGAGGGGGAGACATGCTGTACATGCTCCGACTGGGGTTTGAACCTGCTATCTATATATATGTCCTGACCAGGAATTGAACCTGGAACATTGTGGTGTATGGGACGATGCCCCAACCAACTGAGACACCTGGCCAGGGCTGTCTTTTTTCACTTTCTAAGTGCTTACTATATATAAGGTGTCTCCCCAAAATGTATACACACAGTTTAAATAATTATAAAGGCAGTGTTTATTAAAATACATTTCATTTTGAAAATTGAGCTATCAGACATTTAAGTATGTATACATTTTCTTGGGACACCCTGTATATTTAGGTGGTTGTCTATGTAGGTCCTCTGGCTTTCTTTCTATTCTGCTTTTTTCTTTGTAACATACCTAAAATATTAAGAATAGGGATTTTCTTAAAATGAATAGTTAGTATTCTTTCCCAATTGACCGGGATGAGTGTGAACAGATCTCCTTCTGAGGTAGAGGAATACCCAGTAAAGTTAGGGGTAACTAGAGAAGGAACATGTGTATCAGTCACACCTGAGAACAGATTTCTAGCCAGAACAGGTGGCCACTGCAAAGGTGCAAATTATGGGCTACTTTATTCCATGAACAAAGGAACTTGCTCTCCTGTACTCTTGTGTTCTTGGCTCTCAGGACTCTTGTAGGGGGCTCCCACACATTCGCCTGCACACACAATGGACTAATAGACTGTAACTAGCCTGAAGCTGAACTGGACCTGGCTGCAACATGGAACTCTGGACACTGCCTTTGCTTTTAGCTCTACTGAGTCCCCGGCTACCCTTCTCCCAGGACTAGATTAAGGGAAATGGGACACTGGAAACCCAGGGATGTAATTCCATGCAAATAAAAACCCTTCATTCTCCTGTGTGTGTCTCAGAAAATTATTTTTCTCGAGATATTTTAAGGATGCCACCCCCAGTTGGGAAAGGAATACCTCAACTTCCCCGATAACAGAATGGTGACCCAGATGGGACTCAATAAGAGGATTAAAGTATGGAAAGCATCTCTCGTTTCCTTCCCAGTCCTCACGGCCTCCAGACCAGCACTCTAGCAGGGTGAAATAGCAGAAGAAATAGAGTCTGACAGTGCCTATAACTATTCGGGCCTGCATCTGGCTACCACTGGGAAGGATGAAAAGCTGAACTGGAATGTGGTGAGATGAAACCTCCCCTCCCTAAACTGGGGGTTTTATCACTCATTTAACTCTCTCTTTCTCTCTCTAGTGTTGGTCCATTTCCTTATCTCAGTCCTCCACTGCCTCTGGTGCTGCTGGTTCAGGTGCACCAAGCACTACTTAGCAGCCCAGGCACACAGAATCAGACAGCTGGCCTAGGAAAGGACAGCCACTGGAAATGGCTTTGCAGGCTGCTATAGAGCTATTGCTCCCTACTGAGCCCAGGGCCTGTGGAGAAATAGGGGCTCAAGGGCAGCACCCAGCTAACCCCAGCTTCTTTAAGCCCTGGGAGCGACCAGCAATCCTATGTTGCCACAAAATTAATTCGTAGTGCCCAAGTTCTCCTGCCAGTTTGCAGGCCTTCTCTCTCTCCACCTCTCCACAGCCTCTGTTTTGTCTCCTCTGTACCCACAACACACAGAGGATTGGGAACTCCCCGGGGCAATATGTAGATGGGTGCCAGCAAAAGACAAATGAGCTACTTTAAAATTTACTCTGGGGCCAGAAAAACCCTCGCCCCTAGCCTGGGGCTTAACGGCTTAACGGGCCACTGACTATCTCCCCTCTGAATTTCGCAGGCACAAGGCACAAGGGGAGCCCAGCAGTGGATGCTGGCTGAGATTACTGCTGGGGATTACAAGTTTCACCTCCTAGCCCCTGCACCCTTCGAGTTCCCTAATCAAAGCACCCAACTGCTTCACCCTCAACCCTGCGGTCACGTGCAGAAGGGAGGGACTCTCAGCCACAGTGACCAGCTTCTGTGGGCACAGCTTGGTTTCCTTCTTCATCTCCCTGCCTTTTCTCCTTCACTGGGACAGTGTGTGTACGTGCAGGTGACTCAACGCTATCTGAGAATAGGCCTGCAGAATTAGGGTGAGCACCCCGAACCTCGTGATAGTGTGCCCAGAAGGAGGGAGGGGGCATGTGGAGGGTCTGGTGTATTAAATTCTACCCAGCCAGACTTATGGGAAACTGTCTTGTGCTGCCAAGCCTCTCAAAGGACTGAGGCTGTTAGAAACATGAGACAGCAGCAGATTGCTAGCCCAGCTATTAGAAGCAAGTTAAAAGGGCTGGACTTTTTCTACCATGACAGTAAAGGGTAAAAGCCTCCAGTAAGGTCAGGGGCATTCATCTTCCCTGTAGAGTTAGGGGCCCCCACCTGGACAGTGATATTACTCTTCTGGGAAGGGTCTCTATCTCAGGCCTGGGAAGGGACTTTGGACTGTGAGCCAATGTCAGTTCCCCCCAGTGGGCTTAGGTTGGACTGCCAGGGGACCCCATGGTGACTAAAATGTCTTGCTCCCCCCCCCCCCCAATGCCTCCCTCAGCTATTGAATCTCCCTTTTAAGAGAATAAAAGGGATGAAAGATTGTTTCATTTTTCTTCCCTGAAGAAAATGGTAATATAGTCTTCATTTCTCAAGTACAGTATTACTCTGGTATGGAATTTCATTCTGAGCTTGTCAAAGACTCTCTGCCTCTGAAATACTAATACCTGGTCTCCAGTGATTCTTATTTGAACCATCTGTTGGAATGCATCTGAGAAATAAATCTAAGTCTAGACTACCTGAATCAATCAATCGAATTAGTTCACCTATGAGTTGCCAAATCAGTGAGTTTTGCTGTATACCCGTCTCCAAGGAAGTATGTCTCCTAAAGTATCAGTGAATTTGCCAGTGAAGACGACTTTGTTTCTAAAAGATATGGAATGTGTTTGCTTTCTCTCCCTATCTCATCCCTCCAGAATTTGGCAATTTTTTGTTTGTTTGTTAATCCTCACCTGAGGATATTTTTTCCATTGTTTTTCAGAGAGAGAGTAGAAAAAAGAAAGGGTGAAGGAGAGAAAAAAAAAAATCAATGTGAGAGAGACACACTGATTGATTACTTCTCAAATGAGCTCTGACTGGGGCATGCGAACCCACAACATAGGAACGTGCCCTTGATCGGAACGGAACCTGATACCCTTTGGTGCGTGGGCCAATGCTCTAACCACTTACAAACATAGGCCAGTGCCAGAATTTGGCAATCCTTAATGAGTGGTTCATGGCAATACATTTCTTTGCATAAATCCAATTAGACTAGCTCCAAATCATGTGATCTCATTAACCAGACTTTGAGTGGAATACCATGTCTGAGAGAGACATGCCTGGATTCTAAATGTTACCAGAATGCCTTAATGACTCAAAGCTGATTGAAGCCAATCAAAGGCCACTTGCAGAAATGGCCTCATACCTTACTTGGTCATATGGTTCATGGCAGTGTTTCCAGGGAAGGAATGAAGGCTGCTTTCCTGAAAGATGGCAAGAAAAGAACTTCAAGACACCTTTGGGCACCTCAGGGACTTGAGGACTTGATCCAAACCTATAGATATTTCAGGCAAAGCCTGAGGGCAACTTTGGCTGGGCCTCTCCACTCTGAGGGGCTGATTGCTCACTAAAGGTCAATCTAAAGATTCCTTGTGAAAATTCCAGCAAAACAAATTTGAAAAAGCCTATGATCGATTTGATGAATTGTTGTTCTGTTTATGCAAATAATCGGGCCTTGGTACAGCCTGTCTGAAAATGAGGATAATCTTAGGGAGAAAAATTATGTTTTAATGAAAATCATCATGTTCAGTTATAGATAGAGGACTCTAATGCAGTTAACTGTCTTCAAAATTTTGTTTTTACGGCTGTGTCTATGTATGCAATACAGGCCTCAGCACTTGATGACATCACCAGGGATGTTCTATTTGCAGACAAACTATCAGACTGTCACTGTGTAACTCCATTCCACCAAAAGCCTTACATCTGGAAGGCTCCTTAACTAGTTTATGATTTGCTATGAACATTAACCTCTGTGTTTTGTTTCCTTCTGTTTTCACAGAATGCATGTCTATATCCTTGTTTGCTCACACAATATAGGCCTCACAGAAGAAGCCATCTGCATTACCTTATCCTAAAAATGAGACTCCATAGTCTGGATTTATGATTGAATCAATGAAGTATGGGCAGTCTAGCAGCTTTGCTTGAAACTGTTTTCCATTTCCTGACCAAATAGTGCAAACAGAAAAGATCTCATGGGGGAAATCCTAGAATATTTCCCTTAGCTTAACTTGAGTGGACAAGCGGGCTTCGCTTCAGACCGGTGTGACACACCTGCCCCCAGGGAAGCCACTCCTTCACCTACCTGGGGATGCTGTACGTTATCTTTCTCCTTATCACAAGTCTTTACCACTCACTAGACCTTTAGTTATTGTAAGTCTCCTCACCTTTGATATGCCTTTTAATCTTCTTGTCAAGTTTGTCATTTCTAGAATACAACCAGAATGCCAGCTTGTCCAATGTGTCATCCTCCTGGACATCACTGTGAAACCCTCAGGGATACCAGACTGACCTGGAATTTGCAAAAGCTCCCTTCCCTACATGAAGATTCCATTCCCTTTTGCTCCCTTCTTCCTGTCAGACAGGGAGAACCTCTGAGCCTTAGGACAGGCAGGTCTACACCCCCCTGCGAGCATGAAGCAGTTACAAGAAGATAGAGACCTCTGTACATTTCTCCTTTGTAAGACTACAAAGAGGTTCCTTTTTCTCAGGGAGGAAGGATACCTATATAATTAACCTAGTTATTAATAACAGGAAAGGGACAAAGGGGAGGCCAAATACTATAGGCACAGACATGTCATTGGGCAGCTTCACCATGAGGCGAAAGCTTTTCCCTTCCCAGGGAGCCACTGGTCTGTTTCCTATAGATGCTGGGGGAAGGGACTGAACAGGGGGAGGGAGGGAGGTAACACAGATCCAGTAAAGTTGGGGAGACTAGGGGAGGTAGTTGTCTGTCAGTCATACCTGGGAACAAATCACTGGCCAGAATAGGCATGGCACTGCAAAGGTGCAAAATTTGAGACACTTAATTCCCTGAACAAAGGGGTTTGTTCTCTAGTACTCTTATACTCTTGGTTTCTCTTGGGACCCTTGTTGTAGGGGGCTTACTCTCCTGGCTACCACACATTCACCCGCACACACAATGGACTGTAACCAGCCTGAAGCTGAACTGGACCTGATGCAACATGGAACTCTGGGCACTGGCTTTGCTTTTAGCTTTACTGAGTCCCCGGCTACCCTTCTCCCAGGACTAGATTAAGGGAAATGGGACACTGGAAACCCAGGGGTGTAATTCCATGCAAATAAAAACGCTTCATCCTCCTGTGTGTGTCTCAAGAAAATTACTTTTCTCGAGATATCGTAAGGACTTCACCCCCAAGCACTCAGTAGAGAAAGGGATATCTCAATTTCCCTGATAACACTTCCTTCCTCAGTCAGGCATGCCCTGACTCATATTACTAGAAACTTAATCTGATAACTCAGTTTGGGGTTTTTGTTTAATATATTTATATTGATTTCAGAGATGAAGGGAGAGGGAGAGAGAGAAACATCAATGATGAGAGAGAATCACTGATCAGCTGCCTCCTGCATGCCCCACACTTGGGATAGAGCCCGCAACCTGAGCATGTGCCTTGACCGGGAATTGGATCATGACTTCCTGGTTCATAGGTTGATGCTCAACCACTGAGCCACGCTGGTCAGGCTCTAGTAATTCCGTTTTGCTTTAGGATTTTCTTTTCTGTCTATCCTATTTCCATATTCTTTTGATATTTTAATGCTGATTACTGATGACATCTGTATTTGCTTTACCATTCTTTTATCCAAGCCAACTGGAAGATATTTCATTTACTCTTACTCTACCCTCTTGGTGGAAAGGTGAAGGAAATAATGATGTGGAAAATGGATATGAATTCCCAAAGGAACAGATTAAGTTAGTAATGTAGCTAGGATATTATACAGGGTCTCTTGATTTCCAATCCTGTACCTTTTATTTATTTTACCATCATTCTGGATTAATATTTTTCCAGCATTTCTAATTTTGTTGTTGTTGTTCAAAGCATTCTAAAATAAAATCCAGTAAAAATTTTGAAATGTAACTGAAAATTTGTCCAAACAAAGGGTTGGTTCTATCACAAGAAATATTAGAGCTGAAACCGGTTTAGCTCAGTGGATAGAGAGTCAGCCTGCGGACTCAAGGGTCTCAGGTTTGATTCCGGTCAAGGGCATGTACCTTGGTTGCAGCCACATCCCCAGTGGGGGGTGTGCAGGAGGCAGCTGATCAATGTTTCTCTCTCATCGATGTTTCTAACACTCTATCCCTCTCCCTTCTCTGTAAAAAACAAATCAATAAAAATATATTTTAAAAAAAGAAATATTAAAGTGAAAACTATTTTCTTCTTCAGGGAGAATTTTAAGTAAGCAAATTAGAAGAAGCTAAGAAATTGCCGAAACCGGTTTGGCTCAATGGATAGAGCGTCGGCTTGGGGACTGAAGGGACCCGGGTTCGATTCCGGTCAAGGGCATGTACCTTGGTTGCGGGCATATCCCCAGTAGGGGGTGTGCAAGAGGCAGCTGATCGATGACTCTCTCTCATCGATGTTTCTAACTCTATCTCTCTCCCTTCCTCTCTGTATGAAATCAATAAAATATATTTAAAAAAAATTTTATAAAAAAAAAAAAAAGAAGAAGCTAAGAAATCTACCTCATGATACCATGTAGATTAGTAAAATGAAAGAAAAGTTGCTCACTGCTCCTAGTCACAAGCTTGAACAAAATCATCTCCGTATTTTGAAGAAAAGATTTACTTATTTACATGACTTCTCACAGGGTTGAGTCAATGTCTGAGTCTTGATAATCTTATAGTTTAGAAGTGCTTTAAACAGGAAGAAAGAATACATTACTATCTTTGGCTTACCTTATTACCTGGTGGAATAGGATTGTTCAAAAGCCAGCACTCAGGGGGAAATTCCCTAGATGACTCAGGAAAGGGAATAACTTGGTCTTACTACTTAAAACCACAAAACTGTAAGCACAGTTCCACAGTGTCAATAGACCTTGGCTTTTACCTGTTCAGCAGCTAAAGCTTCACCATAGTTCTCCAGGAAGTTCCCCACAATGACAGAGCCCACAATAGTGAGGCCCTTTCCTGCTTTAAGCTGTGAAGCAAAGGTGAGGAGGCGAGGATGCTTGACGTGTAAATCTTCATCTAGTTTCATTAATACGAGCAACTGAGGCCTGCAAAGAAACCCAAGGGTGATGGGATGAGGGCAAGAAAACACTTTGTTTGGGTCAGGGAAACAGAATGACTGTTCTGCTTCTTAATTCAGGGCATCTGTATAAAACATGTTATTGAAAGAAGGAAGAGATTAGAAGAAATGATAAGAGGGTAGAGTTATTTTGAATCCTACCAGTGTTATCTAAAATTGATCTATCTTAAAAAAATTGATCAATCTTCAAGGAAGAATAAAAATGGTAGAAATTGAGATCACAAATCACAAGAAAAGAAGAATACAGAAATCAAGGATTTGGACAGTTTAAAACAGGTGTATTACACCAATTCCCTGAGTCACATAATTTCCTTATCCTGTAATTAATAATGCACATATTTCTGTGTATAACGATGTGCCCAACACCACTAAAGCTCTTTTGATTTCCTTTATTTTTTTTAGTCTTTTATTTATATTTTTAAAAACTTTTTTTATTGAGGTGCTAGAAGCTATCCATTGTCTACATTATAATGAAAGTGCAAGAAGGGACTTGGAAGACTGATGGACCTTAAGCTTTAGCAAGGCTAAAAGCTATGCACCAATTGTTCTGTCAGGACAATGGTGGCTCAAGCAATTTCCTGACCTAATAGTCTCAAAGTAAATCTTCACTAATATTTGCTGACCTTTAAGATGGTCTGTCTGCTACAGGATTGCCTGCCTAAGGGCAAGATGCGTATTCTAAAATTGAATAAAAGCTAACAGGGCCTGGGCCCCAGTGAAGCCTTTCCACTAGAGAAGGATTTCCACCTGGCCTCCTAATGCCTTTTAAATTCATATTTATTTTTTAAAAATATATATTTTATTGATTTTTTTGTAGAGAGGAAGAGAGAGAGAGAGAGAAAGAGAGAGAGAGAGAGAGAGAGAGAGAGAGAGAGAGAGAGAGAGAGAGAGAGAGACATCAATGAGGAAAAACATCAATCAACTGTCTCCTGCACACCTCCCACTGGGGATGTGCCCGCAACCAACGTACACACCCTTGACCAGAATCAAACCTGGAACCCTTGAGTCCACAGGCCGACGCTCTCTCCACTGAGCCAAACTAGTTAGGGCCATATTTCTTGTCTAGTGTATTGGTTTGTGTTCGGCCCCTTTTCCAGATCCTGAACTCTAGCCACTAGTGGATGCGGTATTCACATTGAAGTAACTGGTTAATAACATTATATAAATTGCAGGTGAAAAACATTATAATTTAATACCTGTATACACTATTGTGTGCTCACCAACAAAAGTCTAGTTTCTCTCCATTACCATATATTTGACCCTTTTACACATTTTGCCCTCCCCCATCCCTTCTTTACCTCCAGTTTTTAGTGTGAGGAGGTCCTTCCTCCAGACGAAGCAAAGCAAACCGGGCTGCACTGAGGGATAGCCCACGGATACCATCACCCCATTCTTTCTCAGCTCTGGGAGAAAGAGGAGAAAAGAGCAGGGACAGATTTAAACCATAGCAAGCACAATTTCAAAAAATAAAGTATTCTCTTCTGAATCTAAAAGTAACATATGCACAGGTAGAAGATTGAAACTCATATTAATGATGTAATAATGCTTCTTACTAACATAAACTCAATGTAAGCAGATCACCATTACTGTTTATCAATAGAGTGTACTGCACCACAGCTAAGAATGAAAGCTGGAAGGGTCACTCACTTGCCCTTCTGAGTAACTATTCAACAACAACTTGAATTAGGAAGTTTAATACAGACCCAAAGTTTATTTTGAAAATAATAGGAGGAAATAAAACTCAATCTTATCTTCTGAATCGGTATTATTTATTGCTAATTTTTAGTACTTGTTAGTCAAGTCTTAGTTGTTATAAAGCTATTCATGACTAACTTCTTTTTCATTTCAGAGAAATGACTTGACTACTGGGGTATTTATATTTGTGTTATACTTTAATACTTATTATTATTTGGATATGTCCTTTTAGTTATTTTTTTATCCACCCATCCATACTTTCTCAACAGGTTCTCCTTGCGATTAAAAGTTGTGACTACTAAAGGATGGTTAAGAGAATCACCAGGGGTACAAAATTTAGCTATAAATAGATGAAGTTATCTGGATCCTAGTGCAAATTTCTTTGGGTTGGCTCTAATCAAACTAGCCAGTTTTAATACTTTTAGCAGTCAATTCCACACTCACCCTTGGTACTCAATGTACTTATAGATCATACCAGCTATTACAATAGCTACGATGGCATAATACCAGGAAGAAATGAACATCAGAGCCAGACAGATACTCATTCCCATAAAAGAGAGGGTCCTAGAAAATTAAAAACAAAAATACAAATAAAAAAGTATTCTTTTCAGTATCTACAAAAGAAGACTATGCTAGAGATAGTTTTTGTGTGTTTTGTTTTGTTAATCTTCAATTGAGGATACATTTTTTCATTTATTTTTAGAGAGTGGAAGAGAGGGAGTGAAGGAAGAAGGAAGAGAGACAGGAAGAGAAAGAGAAACATCAAGATGATAGACAATTGATTAGCTGCCTCGCACATGTGCCCTGACTAGGGCTGGGATCAAACCTGCAACTCAGGTATGTGCCCTTGACTGGGAATTGAACCTGAGACCCTTCGGTGTGAAGGCGAACACTCTAATCACTGTGCAACACTGACCAGGGCTAGAGATCCTTTCTAAACTGTGGTAAGATATTATTTTTTCTAAAAATAAAAATACAGAAAAACAAAAACAGACCAAAAAACAAAACAAAACAAAAACCACTATCAACTACAGACAGAATTTGTGTAAAATGCAATTAAAATGACTTAGACAATTATATTCCCTGAAGTTTTTCTGTGTAATAAACTGGCTCTATAATTTGTTTCGAAGAATAAATAGGAGAATTGTTAATCTGAATCTAAGGAAAATATAGGGTGGTAAGAGAAAAAGAAAAACAATAAAAGCAAAGCAGTAACACAAAAAAGTTCATAATGAACTTTTAACTAAAGTTAAAGCTAGAAACAAGATTGGAGGTATAAGATCAGTGAAGATCTAAATTTTATGTCAGATAAAGGTCACATCAATGTCCACTACTGGTAAGTGAAGCAGAAAGGGATCAAGGAGAAAGTTAGCGAAGAGGAATGTAGCAACAAGTACATAAAGGATCTATTACAGCACTTCTAGCTATGAGAGAAGAAAGATGGGAGAGATGGGGTGGTAGCTAAAAACATGGCAGCTCCTTCAGGACTGAGAAGAACATTTTACTGAGAGCTTTATTGTGTGCTAACCACTGTGCTAAGCATTTGAGAATATCTCAAAGCGACTCTATGGGACAGGTAATATACTATTAGCCCCATTTTACAAATGAGTAAAATGAGATTTTTGTGGTTATGTGCTTTGTTGAAGGTTATAAAGCTAGGAAATAGAGCTGACATTTCAACTTAGGTCAGCTGACTCCAAAGCTCATACTTTTTTTTTTTTTTTTTAATATATATTTTATTGGTTTTGTACAGAGAGGAAGGGAGAGAGATAGAGTTAGAAACATCAATGAGAGAGAGTCATCAATCAGCTGCCTCTTGCACACCCCCCACCGGGGACGTGCCCGCAACCAAGGTACATGCCCTGGACCGGAATCGAACCCGGGACCCTTCAGCCCCCAAGCCGACGCTCTATCCATTGAGCCAAACCGGTCTCGGCCAAAGCTCATACTTTTAACTACTAACTGAAATAATCCTAAGAAGAGAGTTTGAGAATGAAACTGATGAGAATACGAGAATACAGATAGAAAGCAATGAAGGCCAGTGCTCAGCTAAGAGGGAAGTAGGAAAAAGAGATATACAAAGGGAAAATTGTTTTAACCTGAAGAATGCAGCAGGATGTAAGTATTTCTTTCATAGTTCTGATCTTTATTCTCAAGTGTGTGTTATCAATTGCTTTAAAGGCATTTATGAAAAACATGGCTGTAGGTTGGGAATTTAGATAAGCACAGAAAATTGAAATAGATGGCCATGGAAAAAATTACATCAAGATCCCAGAATCTCCCAGTTTTCTAAGTTCAAAGATGGGCTCTGTCCGAATGTGGGTGGTGGGGTGGGGGTGGGGGGTGGGAGGAGGAAAAAAAGCAGACTTACCAGTGGTAGTAGCGGAACCGGGGTCTCCAGTTGGGTGTTCGAAGTAATGTTTGCAAAGCACATGCCAAGTTCACAAAGAGGTAGCACATGAGAAAAAACCTGGCAGAATAAAAGAGTAAGAGGAGTGACTCTTATTGTAAAATGATTCCTCAAGAGCTATTTTAATAACCGGGACCTTTGCTGCAGTGAAGGCTTTGTTTTAACCCACTAGCCTTTGATTAAGACTAGGAAGCAGAGATGCAAACTTCTCCCTACAAACCTGCTCACTCTCCTATGTTCACTCCCAGTGACAATACAACCACTCTTCACCCAGTGTTTTCCATTACGCATCCTTCTTCCAAATTTGCTTACCAAGGCCTATGGATTCTACATACTATTTAAAAATCACTATCACTATCCCCTTAGTTCAAGCTCTCATTGCTTCTTTCCTAGATTGATTAAATAAGCTCCCATTTGGCTTTCCCACATCAATTTTAGCTTCCTTCTAATCTATCATTTATACCAAGTTGATCATTCTAAAACAAATAATGGTCACTTTGTACTCCAAGTACTACCTCCTCCTTCCAGGTTAAAGTTCCAGGTACATTCCAGGGAGATCTGGCTCTCCCTGCTTCTCTGGTCGGCTGCTGCCCTGCAGGCAGCCTGCACTCTGTCAAAGCCTCACTGCTTTCAGCTCTTGGGATGTGCTGCATTATTTCACCCCTCACTTCCTTCACAGGTCCTCTGCCCATAATATCTTTCATCCCTTAGCTGCTTTGCAAACAACCAATCCTCCTTTAAGATACACGTGTCACTTCCTCTAGAATACCTTCCCTGAGACATCAGTCCTCTTACATGTCTCACTTAAGAGCCTTTATAGCCCTCAATGTGCACCTGTACCACAGTGCCCATCACAGGGACCACTGCTTCCTTCATCTGACAACCAGTTCCTGCATCTGTTTTCCCAGGAGGTGCCCAGCGCCATGTATGTAGTAAGTCTTCAATAAGTTACAGATGAAAGAATAAAAGCTAACAGTAGTAGTAAACGCTACACCAATTAATAATGATCAGACATGACGACAAAGAACATGTGCAACTACACAGGTGGGCAGAAACCATGACAATCAGCCATACATGAAACTTCCCGGGCATATTTATTATTTAGGTGAAGTTACACCTGTACTTGGCTAACTCTGTGGTTATCATTGCTGTTATATGCCTGATGGAAGTCAACATGTATGGTACATTACACATGCAAGAATAAGTACAGACAATAACTGGATCTTACATGGAAAGAATTGGGGCGACAAGATCCAGAGAAGCGATAAGGATTCCCAGCTCTGCAATGGCAGCAGTCAGAAGTAAAGCCCATGTAGGTTCCCCATTGGCTTTGCTGTGACCAAAAACCTGTACAGAGAAGGGAAGCATCAGACACAGGAGTGTGGGGAGTGCTTGAGTCAATGCTATAGTTGTAGATATCCAAAAGGTAACACTGTTATACCTGCACCACCTCTTAAAAAACCTTCATTCAACTCACATATAAACTCATACTACAGATCTGGGGAGTCCTATACTAAAAACCCACATGTCTTCATATTATATGATCTCATAATTTCTAAGCCTATAAGGATCATATTGTTTCTCTGAGACCTGAGGAAAAAGGAAGAGGGAAAAAGAAAGGGTCACTCACCCTCAGAAAGGGTATGATGTTATCCTTGGCGATAGCCTGGAGCAGCCGCGGGGCCCCGGTGAGGCTCTGAAGTCCAGCCCCACACGTGGAGAAGAAGGAGCCAATAACGATCACCCACGGGGACGGCCAGGATAAGATACCTACCACCAGATTGCCTTTCACAGCATCCCCGAACCTGAGAGAGAAACGAGAGTGGGGAACCGGACCTGGAAATAACTTTAGACTGTCTGGTGCAAGAGGCCCAGCTTTTGACCCATCTCGACTTTTGACATGCCTTCCTCACTAAACTTAATCACTCCTAGCTTCTGACTTAAAACAAGAGAGGTGCGACTCTTCCCTTCACTTGAAAACTTAGATGCCATTTGAGGTACTATTTGGCCTGATTTCATTCTTGTTGTGTCCCGGGAACAGGGAGGCCTGAGGAGAGGGAGAGTGTGAGGGAACTGCCAGTCAGTGGAGCAGCCAGAACGCACAGAACATTTATCAATTAAGTTTGCCGTTTTATAAGGGCATGGTTGTGGCACCATAGATCACTGTAACAAATATAATGAAAAAGTTTGAAATACTATGAGAATTATGAAGAGACAGAAAAAAAGGTGAACAAATGTTATTATGGAAAAATGGTGCTGATAGACTTTCTTGATACACGGTTGCTAGAAATCTTCAAATTGTAAAAACCTCAGTATTTGTGAAGTGCAGTTAAAGTGCAATAAAATTAGGTATGTCTATGTTAGGGTTCCTGTTCTCAAAGAACTCAATCTAGTAGGGGAGAGTGACATAAAAGCAGGTAGCTGAAATGTGGTAAGTGTAGTAACACACCATGTTTATGCAATACAGTGGTCAAACCAAGGGAGGAGTGGTTTTTCTCTGTTGGGTTGCATCTCTGGGAAAGCGTCATAGGAGAGAATGAATATAAGTCTGGCAGGTGGGAACAAGTCATTCCAAGAAAAGGAAACTACATAAATGTGTGGATGGATGGAGATCTGATACAAGGGACATTTTACTTTACGTTATAAAACAGGAAATTTATGATGAAATGGCAAGAGATACAATTAGAAAAAGATAGACAGGGCCAGGTCAAGGTAATGGGTTTTTAGGGGTGTTGACAGGCTCTGAAGCAATATGTATGATGAAATTTTGTGTTTTAGGAAAATTATTCTGGTGGCAGCATGGAAGAAGAATTATTAGAAGGCACTAAAACTGAAAGGGTGATTATTAAAAGAAATACTGAAGCCGTGTACAAAGTGATGGGAATAAAGAATAGTGGGAAAAATAAGATCTATTAAGGTGAAAGGTGGAATTTACAGGGCTTAGAAACCAACTGGATGAAGGAATTGATGGGAAAAAGTCTAGTATGACACATAGGTTTCCGTGAAAGGGGTGAATGGGGAGGCTATTAACTCCCCAAAACAGGGAAATGGGAAGAGATATAGCAAGTTTCAGGGAAACATATTCTAGGAATTTCTTGCAAAAATGTATTTTATACTCATAGTGAGAAGAAAGGAAAAACACATAAAAGCCTTCATAAAGGAAATGAAGAAAGCAAGTTTTAAGCTTTTATTTGGAATAACAAACATACATACTTATATCTCATAGAGGAGATGCTAGAGACACCAGAAAGTATTTTTTAAATTTGCCTGCCTTTTTTTTTTTTTTTTTCCAACAGCTCTTTAAAAACATCCCTTTCCCCTCCCTCCCCCACCCCCCACACACACACCTTGATTTTAGAGGAAGGGAGAATAGAAACATCAATGATGAGAGAGAATCACTGAGGGGCTGCCTCCTGCACACCCCCTACTGGGGGCCAAGCATGAAAACTGGGCATGTGCCCTGACTAGTAATCAAACCGTGACCTCCTGGTTCATAGGTCTATGCTCAATCACTGAGTGACACCAGCTGGATCCAACAGCTCTTAATGTACAGGAAAGTCCTTATTATTCAGACAAATTTACTACTTCATTGAAGAGTTGTAGTCATTGCATCTCACATTTATATCAACATATTGGCCCCTATTATTTGCTAAGCTTTTTGTGAATATAGTGTACATGTATTTACTACTTGTTAGCCATAATAGATACCTCAGATTGGGTTTTGAGTTTTGACTATTGGGGCTATATGGATGATCAGACAAAATAGAAGACAGACACATAATTATTACAAAGAAATCAACTACTTACTTGTCTCTGAGAACAACGCCTTCGATGCATGCACCAAAAAGGACAACATTGCTTAAATCTATGATATTGAAAGTCAAGGAAAATGATGTCCACCCGCTAAGATGAGATAGAAAGTAGGCAAGATGGGTAGATTATCTAGTAAGAAGTGATGTTAGAGAAAGCAGATATCTTTACTACCAAGATAAAAACACTGATCACTCTAGTTCCTCTGAATGTTCCTATGACTAAGATAGGCTGGACCCATGAAAAGGATACAGACAAAGGAGGTGGTCAGGATGGCGAGGATAGTGCCAATGGGAATAGACTTCTGAGCATCTTTTAGATCTCCAGATCTGTTTGATCCAGCCATGATACCTTTAGAAAAGGAAAAAAGAATAAGTTAATTTACTGAGTTCCGGGACACTTTGATAGTAACACAGGTACTAGAAACAAAGCGAGGAGCCCTGAGATTATAATTCTGTCTCCTGAGAAAAAAATCACTCCTTGTATCTGATAGCTTCTAAAATAGAAAACAGCCCAGATGCTTACCTGTGACAGAGGGAAAGAAGATCCCCACCAGAAGAGTGAAGGAGGTGGTGATGTCAACGAGGACATACTCATGGTTTAAGTTGCCTAACACATCAGAAGATTTGGCAGAGGGCTTTTCAATGATCTCACCCTTTGGTAGATAATTACTCCAAAGATTCTCTATAGTGGGGGACAAAAGGGATATAATCAGCAGCAGTTAGGAAAGAAGATAATTACATAATCTTCTACCCAAGTAACCGTCTAAATAACATTAATCATTTATATAGTTTTTAAAGATATGTTTACTTCGCCGAAGCCGGTTTGGCTCAGCAGTAGAGCATCGCTCTGTGGACTGAAAAGTCCCAGGTTTGATTCCGGCCAAGGGCATGTACATTGGTTGCGGGCACATCCCTGGTAGGGGGTGGGCAAGAGGCAGCTGGTCGATGTTTCTCATCGATGTTTCTAGCTCTCTAGCTCTCACCCTTCCTCTCTCTAAAAAATCAATAAAATGTATTTTTAAAAAAAAGATATGTTTGCTTCTACATGAGCGCACGCACACACACACATACTATACAATAAAGCACATAAAAAAATGAGTGCCCTTTCTCATCTGGTTCAAATATAATTTGGCAAAATACTTTGGTATATACAAATCCAGTTAAATTTACTAATATAAATTAGTAAAATTTAAGCAGATTAAAGCTAAATGCCCTGTCTTTTTTTTTTTTTTTTTTTTAATTAGTAGTTATCAGTGCTGTTTCTTAGGTAAAACTTACTTACATGCAAAGGAATCTGTGGCCCAAACATTTAAAATAGAAGTCACTTAAGGAAAGAATTTCAGAAATTTAGCTGAGTTAGAAAAATACACATGTGGATGTGATGACATTATAATAGTTACATACTAGCTGACATGGCAGGAGAATATTAGCAAGTTTACAATTACACAAAGGATATTTTATTATCTTATGCTAGGTTAAAAAGTGATTTGCTCTCAAAAGGTGGTAATATTTTTCAGACAACACTGCAAGGGAGCCCTGAGAAAGAATAAATCCACTAATATAAAAGCAGAGAGGTGTTGAATTAGGGTTGAATGCTGAGCTTAAAGAGGGGAGTGACCCTGGCAGTGGGTCTTCGTGGACTACAGAAGAGCCTAAGAAGACAAAGCCCATTTTCCTCAGAGAAAAAGAAAAAACGTGTCCAAAAACCTCCCAACCTACCTTTAATGACACCACTAGCCAACCCAGGAATCCCCTGGATTGACGTGACGTTATTGTGAACGAAGTACTCGTCACAGGTGGCATTGAAAAACTGACTGGAGTTGCAGAAGAAACCCCATAGCTTTGACGGTACCGTCATGTTGTTCATCTCCTTGGTCTTAGAGCAAGTATCGAAGTGTCTTGATGAAAGGGTGCGGTTCCCCAGCATGCAGACCCTAAGTAAAAACAAACGGGAAGAAAAATGAAGCAAAGGGAGGATTTAAAAAAAAGAAAATAGGTTAGAAATGGGCCAGTAAATAATAAATAGGTTGGTACAAGGAAAATGTCATCTCTGAGAGCTACACTGTCATGGATGGAAAGAGACTATTTATTGACTCGCTCTGTAAACGGTGACATACATCTTCTGCCAATTTAATCCTTAGAACAATCTCACACAATACGCATTATTTTCATTTTGCGGATGCAGGAACTGAATCTGTGGGGATGAAGTAGTCGGCATGAGGTAACACAGATGGTAGGTGGTAGTGACAGAATTAAAATAGAAAGACTGTCTGAATATACTGTGCTGACTCACCTTCCACAATTTCTAGGTTATTAACCAACTTTTAGGTCTAAAAGAATCCTAGGGTCCTTTTGTATTTAAAAAAAAAAATTCCCCTAATTTTATTTTTGGCCTAGAAAAGCCTTATGTTCATAACAAACCCCTTGAGAATGTTTTGCAAAAGGTCAAACCTCTGGCTACTGTTTGAAGAAAGACAGCTTGGCTAGAACGAAAAAGCACATCCCTCTGTGGCCTGAGAGAAAACTGTTTTTGAACATAAGCCTGGACCCAGTGGGAGTGAGGGTATTTAAGGATAACACAAATATTCATTCCTGGTTTTATTTTATTTTCTCTAACCCAGAGACATAAATACAAACAAAGGAATAATATACCCACAGTTAAAATATCTTTAAAAAGGAGGAACAAAGCAATTTTAAAAAACAACAACACATTTTTATTGATTTTAGAGAGGACAGGAGAGGAAGAGATAGAAACATCAACATTGAGAGAATCATTGATCAGCTGCCCCCTGTGTGACTGGGGACTGAGCCCGTAAACCGGGCATGTGCCTTGACACAGATGGAAGGTGGTAGTGATAGACCTCCTGGTTCATAGGTCGATGCTCAACCACTGAGCCACCGCCACCAGGTGGAACAAAGCAACTTTTAAAATCTGCAAAATAGCAGCATGCATACACAATGAATCATGTACCCCATTACTCAGCTTCACAACTGTCAACATTTTCCAGTCTTGTTTTATCCATTCCTCTAGGTTTTTTGTCTTATTTTGCTGGAATAAATATATTCCAGTGTTACTCAGTGGTTGAGCATTGACCTATGAACCAAGAGATCATGGTTCTATTGTGGGTCAGGGCACATGCCCATGTTACTCAAACTCCAGTAGGGGCCTATAAGAGGCAGCTGATTGATGATTCTCTCTCATCATTGATGTTTCTCTCTCCCTTTCCGGTACTTTCTGAAATCAATAAAAATATATTAAAAAAAGACTGTCATTAAGAAAACAACCACCACACATCATGATCTTTTATCCAACAAAAAAGAGGAGAAGCATCAAAGGAAAACTAAAGGCAAAATGGAATTTCCCAAGTTAAGATATAGCCAGAATGTAGTGTATTTTTATGACTCTAAAATTGATCTTTAGCTGCTCCATAGTTAGATGAGCAGGTTAAAAAAGTATGATGGAACCTATTTCGGATATCGATGAGCTTAGAGGAAATACTGGGCTGGAAGAAAATCACAGGGTTTATGTTCTTGCTCTGCTAGTAATTAACTTTGGGGCAAGTTATTTAATCTCTATGAACCTAAGTTTTCATCTTGAAAAATCTACTTTTATGTAATCAGATTAAATCAACATAGGACTGATGAATTTAATCCCCAGATAACTTTTTAAAGTCAATCTCTGTAACAAGATTTCTAATAACACTCAGTGCTGGTTTGTCCCTATGCCACTAGTCAAATGGAAAACTGGTGAGCCTGTGAGTCCCATATCTGTACAAATCCATTACTGCTTCAAAAAATACACTTTAAGCCCTTGTTGGTTTGGCTCAGTGGATAGAGCATCAGCCAGGGGACTGAAGGGTCTGGGGTTCGATTCCAGTCAAGGGCACATGCCTGGGTTGCGGGCTTGAACCCTAGTGGGGGGCATGCAGGAGGCAGCCTATCAATGATTCTCTCTCATCATTGTTTCTATCTCTCTCCCTCTCACTTCCTCTCAGAAATCAATAATATATATATATATATATATATATATATATATATATATATATATATATATATAGTTTAAGTACCTGAACTACTTATTATGTATAAGTAATATACATAGATATAAATACAAATAATGAATTTATTTTTCTTTATTTTATGAGTAGGAAGTCCATTATGGCACTAACAGAATTAAAAAATTAATTAATTACAAATATTTAGGAGTTTAGATTTCCTTTGACTCTTTATTTTTTCATTAATAAAAGAAATCCAACATTTTGATACTTTATAAAGGTTGCTGGCATTAACTATACTGTTTGAAAAGCCCTTCATGAATAGTTCAAATATGTACAACCATTATTAGAGAATTTTGAAAAAAAAAACTAATTATCTATAGCCAAATGATGGTTATAGCTGCCAGTTCTATGCTTGGGACAGAGGGAAGAGTATCCACATGAACAAACTAGACAGTTCGCTGGGAGGCCTCCTGCCTAGATGCTAACCGGGCTTATCCCAAAGGGAAATTTCAGAGAGACTGTGAAATTGACTTGAAATGATCACATCACTAGATACTGTCAATGACTACTCAACAACCACGGTTAATCAAAGAGAAACGTACGGGAAGTGTGGAGGGGCAAAAGACGACTTGATGGCTCCCGCGTAGATGGCCAAGATGGACACAATGACACAGGCCAAAAAAAGCGAGGCGAACTTGTTCACATAGCGCACGCCGATGAAGACCACCAATACCATGAGCACTAAGAAGGCTGTGCCATAGACACGCATGTTATTTAGCATGGCTGCTGATTCCTTGAGTACATCATCGCTACGGAAGATGGCAGCCCGGGGGACAATGTATACCTGTTAAGCAATAATGATAAAAAAAAAAAGTAGGTAATTTCAAAGTAGGCAAGTAAAAGGATGTTGCAGTTTGATTTGGTTTCACAAAGGAAAGCAAAGCTGAGACAGACAATGGCTGGAGACTTAGCCAAATTTCTATTTGGATCTAAAACACCTACAGAAATGGGGTATCACTGATTTTTTTAAGTCTACATGCTATTCTGAATACCTATATTTCCAAATGGAAAAAAAAAAAGTAATACACTAACATATTCAAAGGATTATCTTATCTAATAAAGAGGGAATATGCTAATTGACTGCCTCACCCTCAAAGATGGCAGCGCCCACAGACACAAGATGGCAGCACCCAGTCCCCTCTGCCCCACTGGGATGGCAAGCGCATGGCATAGTCGGGACCACCCCCAGGTGGGTCTGGCTTTTTTGCCAGCCTGCCTCTGGAGTCCCCAGTTCCTTCAGCCCCTCAGTTTCCCAGGGCCAGCCCTAGGTACAGGCAAGCCTTGGATGTCGGCTGCTCAGCTGCCCTGGGCTTCCCGAGGCTCAGGTAACCAAGGCCAGCCAAGGCTTGTGCTGCCAGCAGTGGCAGCAGCAGAGGTGTGATGGGGGCATTGCCTTCACCTGGTTGCCGGGTCACCTCCTGCCCCTGAGGGCTCCCACAATGTGAAAGGGGGCAAGCCAGGCTGAGGCGCCCTCCCCCTCACCCCCGCATTTCAGTGCATGAATTTTCATGTACCGGGCCTCTAGTATAAAATAATTATAATGATTACCTTGAGAATTACTTCTGCTATCATTAATTTAAATAATAAAAAATATATCCCATAAATAAATAAATGAAACACATTTTATTTCATTGGAATAAAGATGTTTTAAATAACACAACTTCATTTTACTTTTTCCCCATTGGCACATATCTTCCTTCGAGACTAACTTGTTGGTTGAAGTGATGGTGTGGGGGTGATTTGGTAGAGGGGAAGGAGTAGGCAGACAAAAGATTCCCTCAACCTTTTTACTCATATCCACACTTGGATGCCAAGTGCTAAGTGCAATACAGAAAGGCGCAATAAAGTAAAGTGAAATAAAATAAAATGAGCTGATTATAATCAATCACTTATAGCTGATCTCACAGAAGCTTTGACATCAAAGAACAACATAAATCTAAATCTTTATTATTATCTATATTGTAGAACACAATTAAGTGATTACTCACCAGGAAAATTTCAATGGCACCAAGAATATACATAGCTGCTGCAAATGTGGTACCAAGATAGAAGCAGAGGCCAACAGCTCCACCAAACTCGGGGCCCAGTGCCCGGGAAATCATGAAGTATGAGCCCCCAGCTAACACACACAGAACACGGTGACAAAGATAAAGAAAATACATTAGTAAGAAGTATGTGAACAATCGTAAGTAAGAAGAATTAAAAATATGCATGAATTATAAATATTTGAGGCTTTTAAAAATGCTGAATGTGGTAAAAAGCAGTTTTGCTAGTGGGGAGTAAAATATGAAATCTTTATGGTAGGATACACTGCACATCTAATGCTCCATGGGAAGCAGAACAATTTGTAAGTATTAGAAAAATATGAGTATTTACTGTAGGCATGAGATAGCCCAATAAAATATATTCCAACTAAAGGAAGCTAAAGATGCAACAAAAATTGAAAAATTCTAGACTAGAACAAAAATAAATTTTTAAAAAATGTATCCTAAACTCAAACAGTATTAGTGTCTATGGCCATCAGATTATAATAGGATTCTATTCCTCGAAAGTTTACACTTTGGGGATTCACATCATAAACACACAGTAACCACTGACCATCCCTGGCTTCTGCACTTAGCCTACTGACCTGGCACCACTCCATTAGTCGCAATGGCACTCATAGAGATAGCAGTCAATATTGTCTGTAAAGAAAAAGGGAGATTATTACTGTATAGAAGAGAACCTTATGTACTATTTCCCATCTGTGGACCTCAGAGAACTTATCTCTACCTACTTTTATGGAGGGAGTTACCTGTCATACCCAATGGCATGGAAATGAGGTGATGTGGCTCAACTTATTCTACAAGGCACACTATTACCTGGAGTATTCTGTTAAAACTAGAGGCCCAGTCCACAAAATCCATGCACGGGGAGGGTTCCTAGGCCTGGCTGGTAATCAGGGCCAATCGGGACCTTCCAGCTGCTGGCCAGGGCCTTCCTTCATTCTGCGCTGCCCTCCTGGTGGTCAGTGCACATAGCAAGTGATCGCACTCCCAGTTTCCTGGTCAAACTCCCAAGGGGACACTTTACATATTAGCCATAGATAGATAGATAGATAGATAGATAGATAGATAGATAGATAGATAGATAGATGCCCCTACATTGTAATCAATAGGTTAGCTGCTATTGAGAACTTCTAGTCTCCTTCTAGTTCATCTAAACAAGTTGAAAAACAAACTTGAAACTGAGTAAAGGCTGGCTACAATAACAAGAGCAATATTCAGTAAAGAAAGGAACTACTGAAGACTTCTAAGCTCATAAGAACTGTATTTTAAAACTTTTTTATATGTTTTTATTCATTTCAGAGAGAGGAAGGGAGAGGGAGATAGAAACATTGATGGGAGAGAATCATTGATTGGCTGCCTCCTGCATGCCCCCTAATGGGGATCAAGCCCACAACCCAGGCATGTGCCCTGACCTGGAATCTAACCATGACCTCCTGGTTCATGGGTAGATGCTCAACAACTGAGCCACCCTGGCCTGGCAAGGACTGTATTTTAAAAACATTACCAAGTGGCAGTATATCATGGACTGTAGATAGGGATTGGTTAGAGGAAAAGTGACCTGTTAGTAGGCTTTTATAGTAATTTTGTGAGATCTAAGGACTACAGTGGTAGAAGTGGAAATATAAAGGAAGGGTTGAATGTAAGTGATTTCAGAGGAAGACATGATTAGTCTGGGTAGCTAATTGGGTGTGAGAGGCAATCAGAGAACCAAACATGGCACTGAAGTTTCAATACTAAGAAACTGGGGGGAAAAACTTGATGGTACAATTAATTTTAACTTTTTAATGATACAGATTATGACTGCCTGCCCTGCTCTGTATAGCATCTGCTGAGCATGAAGCACATGGATGGTATAATGGTGATAATAATAAAAAAGGTCAGTTGCTAGTTAAATAATTAAGTAATGATTGTTTTTATCCTCACCAGAGAATATATTTATTGATTTGAGAGAGAGGAAGGAAGACAGAGAAAGACAGAGAAACATTAATGTGAGAGAAATATTTGATCATTTGCTTCCTAGTACGCACTCAAACAGGGATTGACCTGCAATGTAGGTATATGCCCAGACCAAACTGAACCCACAACCTTTTAGTATACAGGATAGTGCTCCAACCAACTGAGCTACCTGGCCAGGGCAATAAAATAATAATTTTTAAAAATATATTTTTGTATTGATTTCAGAGGAAGAGAAAGGGAGAGAGAGATAGAAACATCAATGATGATGCATACCCATCACTGGGGATTGAGCCTGCAATCTGGGCGTGTACCCTAACTGGGAATTGAACCATGATCTCCTGGTTCATAGGTCAACACTTAACCATTCTGCCACACTGGTCAGGCAATAAAATAATAATTTGAAAAAATCTATCTACTTATAATAAAATTAATAGATGTGGTTGGGAAACATAGATAAAAGGAGTTTAGGTTAAAGGAAGATTAAAATGTTCTCAGTATGATCCTGAAACACATACCTAGTTTTCAGGTTCAATCCCCAGTTGGGGAGCATCACAGAAAGCAACCAATCGATGTTTCTCACCCACAGTAATATTGCTCTCTCCCTTCCTCTTAAAAAAAAAAAAAAAAAAAAAAAAAAAAAAAATCAATAAAAAGCATATTTTTGGGTATGGGGGAAAAAGTGTTCTCAGTATGGTGGAGAGGAGACCTGGTAAAAACAACTGAATTTCTGGGGAAGAGAAAATGACTGGCACTTCAAAACAAAACAAACCCTCCTTACTCCGAAACAATGATCAGTTTTGTTTCTCAACACTATATGTTAGAGTAGGATACCCCATTTTCTAACACATTTTCTGCAACAACATTGGTGCTATCAAGCTCAGGTGGTTCGTATCCTGAATCCTTTATAGGCTGTATCTTCTACTTCCTGTAGAAGACTTCCATTATAGTTTCTAGGACATCTTGTTAAAGATATAAGCAGTGAATAACTGAGACTAAATAACTGAAAATCCTTTTGATTTTCATATCAAAATAATCTCTCTTGTTGAAATGAGCCTTTCCCTAGTATTCTTTGTCTTATTCCCAAAGAGGTCAAGTGCATATACTCTTGAGCAGTCGCAAGGTTCCACATCTGGACTTACACAGCAGCAGCAAATAAGGACAATTGCAAAGGCCTGAAGAACTCCAGCTGTGCCCACCACCCATGTAAGGCGTAGAAACAGGATCACTCCAAAAATATTTTGTAGACATGGGAGGTAGACACCCATGAAGGTACCCATTTGGGGGGTCTGCAAAGAAAGAAGTTGATAAAAGAAAAAAATTACATAGTCATCTTTTTACTTTTGTATGAAAACTAGTTCCCTAAAACTATCATCTCAAAGCAGAGATAATAAGTTTAATAAATACCCTAAAAAAGGCACATACAAAATCTCCAATTTACAAATGTCTATCACCATACCTTTTATTATTCCTATAGCTATACATTTTTATTTTTCAATGGTCCCCACATGTGTTTAGTCGTTTAACCACAAATATACTTTAAGTGCATCCAAACAACTTAAACAAGTTCTGTTATTCAAAGCTATTAAACTTTCTCTTTTCATTTAAAAATGAACTAATGGCTTGCTCTTCAAAATTTGGTATAAATCCTTCATTGTAGTTGGTAAAATAAAAATCTAAGTGTCCTTTTACCTTTACTGAGTGACCAACCAAAAAACTAACTTATAATATTATTCTGTATTTTAATTTTGATTAAAAAAAGACTGGTATTTAGTCTTCATGGCTCAGTCCTCACATTAGTTGGACTCAAATATCGTTTTAGCCTATCTAAAATAGTAATGCCCACCGAGGCTGGTTTGGCTCAATGGATAGAGCGTCGGCTTGGGGACTGAAAGATCCTGGGTTCGATTCCGGTCAAGGGCATGTACCTTGGTTGCGGGCATATCCCCAGTAGGGGGTGTGCAAGAGGCAGCTGATCGATGACTCTCTCTCATCGATGTTTCTAACTCTCTCTCTCCCTTCCTCTCTGTACAAAATCAATAAAATATATTTAAAAAAATATTCACTAATCTCTTAAAAAAAAAAAAATAGTAATGCCCTCTGCTCTGGCTTTCTTGCTGGCCAACAACCTCGATCTCTTTGCTCTGCTTCAATTTTCCTTAGAACATTTATCATCATAGTTAAAGCATCTTAAGGACTGTGACAATGAGATATTGTGAGTTCTTTTTGTGCTATGAACCTAGTGCCTAGGACAGTGTTGGCAAATACCAGGCATTCAATAAATAGCTATTCTAGAGCAGAAACTGATGTCTTGGCAATTCATCCTTTAGTATAGATGAGGCGCTTTTTATTTATCCTTGTTTTCCAAGGCCTCACCTTGGTGGGCTTCTTTTTCCCTTCAGTGATGTTCTCTGCCTCTTCATGTTCTTTTGCTCCTTGAGTCAGATTGGTGTAATTAGCCATGCGGTTGAGGAGAGAAGACACCTTTGGTCTGGTGTCCATTTCTTCCTATAAAACCGGAAGTATGGAAGAAATGAGTGATGAAGAACACATTGGAAATAAGCATCAAAAGGATCGCCCTACCAGAAAATTGCAAAGTGAGAAAATATTTCACAGGTAAATATTTAGATAATTTATCAATGAGATTTTATTTCCCCCAAAACTAAAATATCACACTTAATCCTTATAAAATTCTTAAATGAAAAACTTCATGAGTCTTTCTACTAGCTTAACTTTTCAGTGAAAACAAAATCATGCTGGCCCCTACACATAGTTGTAACTTTGTAAGAATCATTAATAATAAGATCTTTACCAGATTACTCTCTTTCTTTAGGCTACTAACATTATATTAACTTATGGCTATTATTTATAGCACCAAGAATAGGCAGGTCAATAGAAAACTTTTGTGAGTGAACTAAATAATCACCTCAGACCTTTCCTTGAAGGAAGCTGAGAGAAAATATCACTTAAAACACAGGCACACTGAGAAGTGTTTAAAGCCAAAAAAAAAAAAAAAAAAAAAAAAAAAAAAAAGGCAGGGAGTGGACAGAAATGCAGGAATAAAATAGGTTCTGTTCAACATCCCAACTCCAAAGTCCACACGGGTCTTCTGACTCTAGCAGCCTGCTTCCTACACTGGTTTTGGTTAGTAGTCTCCCAAATGCAGAGCTGAAAAATACATTATTTTATACTTAGAAGATAATTCCAATGTAAACATCTACATCCCAGCTGAATTTGATAGCAACATTCTCCATATGCCTATGATGTCAACATTCCTTTTCTCTTTCATAGGAATTTGATTTAATTAATGGCTACGTATTAAATCAACCATAGTGACAAGCTGTAAGTATTGCATTTTAACAATTAGCTATTAAGTTATCCAACCTGTGCTGTTTTAAAACTGAATGGGATAGAAAATAGCTATCTTGAAATCCCAGTTCCTAAAATCTGTCCTAGTTTTCTCCCAAATGTTACCTCAAAGAGTGCCAAGTTTTTATCAAAATATTCATCTGCTTCTTCATAATTGGAATTATTGAGATAAGCATTTCGAGCTTTCTTATGGCCATCATCTGGGGAAAAAGTAAACCAAGTTAGTTTCTCATTGGTTTTGAAGAAGCACCAGCACCAAATAACTGTATATTGACTCTGTATTAATATAGAACCAATTTTCATATTCAAATTTAAAGCTGAGAAGGTAGACTCAATTAGCATTGCTTGGAGAATATAGTTCCCTCTCTAACAAGAGCAAAAACAAATCTCTAAGAAGTAAACAAGGGTCATTCCTTTTCTTAACAATATGAAGACGTCTGGAAATATTTTTTTAGGACTACAGCCTAGTAGAGTCTCTTAAAGTCACCCAAATCTATAATGAAAAAATAAATATTTTATTGAGTACATCCTCAGAACTGTGCTAGACACAGGCTACTTCCCACCCTGTTGCTGTGATAACGGCAGTAAAAACTTTGTCTCCATTGCTGTCCAAACTTTTGTTAAATGACATAAGGTGATTTAACAAGTATTATTTTTGTACAAACACTTGCCACATATTTTATGTTCAAAGAGGCACCCCATAGAATTTGGTAAACCAGCTATGAAGAAAGAGAGAGAGAGAGAGAGAGAGAGACAGAGAGAGAGAGAGAGAGAGAGAGAGACAGAGAGAGAGAGAGAGAGAGAAAGAGAGAGACAGACACTGGATTTCCTAAAACAGCAGTGTTTGGATTGTTTGAGTACTTCTTTAACTTTGATTCTTTATTGTGTAAGTTATATAATTATAATTGGTAGAAGAGAAATAAATAAAAATTTAAAAGTATGTAAATGTCATTAAGAACCAAGATTTTAAATGAGAAAAGAGATACCAATATAAAAATTAAATAAATTAATTTCAAGTCCTAGAACCTTAATTATATATAAGGTGAGCTTGGGAAATAGGCTACAAGCTATCAAAGTAACTGAGTCACGCCAAAGGACAGAAAAGCCAACCTGAAGGAAGTTCCCACTGGCTAAAATGGAATAATATGGCTACTAAAAATAAATAATGAATGGATTAATATGTAAATATGCAGAGTCCAGAGTGCTAACATTACAAATATGTGAAATACCCAACATATTTTAAAATCTAATCAACTGTACACACACCATATTATTTTACTTATATGTAGAACCTAAATAACAAAATAAATGAAGAAAACTGAAATAGACTCAAAGACACAGAACAGAGCCTAAGACCATCGGAAAACACAGATATTTACATTACGATTCACAACAGTAGCAAAATTATAGTTATGAAGTAGCAACAAAAATAATTTTATGGTTGGGGTCACCACAAGATGAGGAACTGTATTAAAGAGTTGTAGCATTAGGAAGGTTGAGAACCACTGCACTAAGCCAAACCAGCAAGAGCATGTTGACACCTTTTAAACATAAAACAAACTTGTCTTAGTAATTTTATTTTTATCTATTTTTTGTTAATCCTCACACGAGGATACTTTTTCCATTGATTTTTACAGAAGGGAGAGGGAGAGACAGAGAGAGAGAAACATCTATGTGAGAGAGAGATTAGTTGCCTCCTGCATGAGTCCTGACCAGGGTCAGGGATCGAGCCTGCAACCAAGGTGGGTGCCCTTGAACAGAATTGAACCTGCGACCCATCAGACCACAGGTTGGTGCTCTATCCACTGAGCCAAACTAACTGGGGCATCTATTATTTATAGTTCTCTCTTTTCGTGTAACAAATTACTCCCGAACTTAGTGGCTTCAACAATACAACTCATCTCAGTTTGTATGAGTTAGAAATATGGGGATGGCTTAGCTGGGCCCTCTGCCTCAGACTCCCATAAGGCACCAATCACGGGACTTCCAGGACTGTGGTCTCATTTGAAGGCCTTGGGAAGATCCATTTCCAACCTTACATCATTGTTGGCAGAATTCAGTTCTTTTCAGGCTTTTTGGACAAAAGCCTCTTTCCGTTCCTCGCCACGTGAGCCTTTTTAAATGACAGCTTACAACATGGTATCTAGGTTCCCTCAAAGCAAGCCACCAAAGAGAGCCAGAGAGTGCAAGACTGATGTCCCAGCCTTTTTGTAATTCCATTACAAAAGTAACATCGCTTTTGCCATATTCTATTAATTAGAAGGAGTCATTAAGTCCAGTCTTCACTCCAAGTGCAAAGGATTATACAAGGGCATGAATACTAGGAAGAAAGGAGCATTGGATAACAATAAAAATAGCTTCCTATTCTATCCACCCATCCACCCACTCATGCATGCTTTAAATATCTGAGGCGAAATGGATTGAACTATAGCGAGAAATCCAAAATTAGAGAATATAAATTTTATTAAACATACATGGAAAATTTATTACAAGCTATGTACTAAATCTTAAAGACTGCATAAATTTCAAACAGGTATAATATAATCCATGATCTTGATTTATAAAAAAAAAAGTTCAATAAGAATTTAATTATAAGAGCATAAATTTTAAAATCTTTGCAAATTCAGAAATTTAAAAACACTGTTAAACAATTCAAGAGTCAAAGATGAAAATACTTTAAAACTGAGTGACAATGAAAACACTACCTATTGAAACCTGTAGGATCCAGCAAAACTTTTGTTTTTTGTTTTGTTTTTAATATATTTTATTGATTTTGTACAGAGAGGAAGGGAGAGAAATAGAGAGTTAGAAACATCGATGAGAGAGTCATCTGCCTCTTGCACACCCCCTACTGAGGATATGTCCACAACCAATGTACATGCCCTTGACCGGAATTGAACCCAAGACCCTTCAGTCCCCAAGCCGACACTCTATCCACTGAGCCAAACCGGTTTCGGCGGATCCAGCAAAAGTAATAAGAAGAACAAAAATTACATTAGCTAAGTACCTATTTCAGGAAGCTAGAAAGACAGCAAAATAAAGATAATAGGGGGGAAAAAAGATAATAACTATACTACCTGTCTTTGGGTTAAATGCCCTTTTCTGCTTTAGGCAGATCTCTCTTATCCACAGAAAACAGTTGTATTTTTAAAAATCTGACAATGTGTCTTTTTAATAATTGTCAAGTTTAGTCCATCAACCTCAGAGACTGATATATTTGGACTGATTCTACCATGTTTTTATTTCTGTTTTTCCTTCTTTCCCTGTGATTCATTCTCATTTTCTTCCTCTGGACTTTTTGGTTTGTTTTTCCTTAATCCACTTTTCCCTCTATCCTATTTTGGAGTTTTCATTCTCTATTTCTATTTTTTTAATAATTACTCTTGAAATTTTACCACATATTTTACTTTAAAAAACTGTTAAAAGTAAATTAACAATAGCTTGTCATCTTCCCAAACAACAAAGACTTTCAAATGCTTCAGTTCAAACTCTCTCCTCTGGACTCACATAATATTACTAGGGGCCCAGTGCAGGAATTCATGCATGGGTGGGGTCTGGCCGGCCAGCCTGGCCCAATTGGAGCGACTCTGGGCTGGACCTGTCAGGAGGAGGAGATGGCAGGAGGTTTGCTGGGCCAGCTGGGGGAGGCCAGTGGGCCCCACCCTTGATTGGGATTGGGGGGCCAATTGGGGGCGGAGATGGCCATGGAGAGGGGCTGTGGGCAGTGGGTTGGCTGACCCTGTCCCCAAATGGGGTGGGTGGTGCCGATAGTGGGCCAGCAGCCTGGGGGGAGAAACTATGGGTGGTTGGCCAGCTGGCCCAACACCCTGATCAGCCCATTTCGCTGGCCACAGTGGGCATCATAGTGACCGTTGCTAGGTTTTTAAGGCCCTTACAGTAATTGGCTTCTTATATGTATAGATATATAGTTACAGAGGCCCAATGCATGAAGTCGTAAAATGATGGGGTCCATTGGCCTGGCCTGTGCTCTCTTACAATCCGGGACCCTCAGGGGATGTTGGGAGTCAGTTTCAGCCCAATCCCTGAAGGCCAGGCCAAGGGATCCCACTGGTGGATGGACACTGGGCCTCTAGTACGCATATGAGATTTTTGGTAAATCTCTCTCTGCCCTTCCCTTTTCCCCTTTCTCTCTGAGATTCATCAGTTTGTTCCAAGTTTCCATGCCTGTGGTTTCTGCTCCTGCGCTGAGCATCTGCCCCCTGGTGGTCAGTGTGTATCATAGCTACTGACTGGTCATCCAGTTATAACAGTTTCTTAGGTTTTTATATATATAGATTGTCCAATATTTGTTGTTGTCTATTTTTATTTTACTCCACAAATAAGACACTAACATTATTTCATAGAGAAAATATTGACTTAGGTCAAGAGCCAAGTTTATCATTTCATTTGTTCAATATTCTGTGTTGCATTTCAGAACATTAGTCTTCTGGGATCATTTCTTTTTACTTGAGGTACACTTTTTAGAATTCCTTTACAGAGGGTTCCTCCATTTCAGCACCATAAAAGTTTGAACCAAATAATTATTTGTCATGGGGGAACTGTCCAGTACAGTGTAAGGTGTTTAAAAGCCTCCCTGGCCTCTAGTAGGTAGATGTTAAAAGTTACATAATCTCAGTAGAAAAAAAAAAAGTCTCTAAATATTCCCAGGGACAATTTTCAATTAGCCTTTTATTATATAGGATTATTGACTACCAGTGTCCTGATGTTAACTGTTTTATAACTAGTTAAATCAGAGAGAAAATTGTTCCTAGTTGAAAACCACTAGTTTAGAGCAAGTCTTGTGATAAAAAAAATGTCCTCAGCCTTTATTTACCTATAACTGCTTGTATTCTGTCTTTCTTCCTGAGTATCTTGCTAAGCATAATTCCAGGATAATTTTAACTTTAAAACATTATTTGTTATGCTTTGCTATTGAGAATACTTCTATCATTCTGTTGTTCTTTGATAGTGTCTTTTCTCTGTGGCAGCTTTGAAGATCTTTCTTAGGTGCTGTGCAGTTTTCATTAACATATATCTAAGTGCAGTTTTGTTTGTTTTTTTTTGCTCATAAACACTCTTCAGTTGTTTCTAATTTATTGTTTATTTCTTATCTACCCTTCATTTGTTTTATATCAATAACTATATGTTTTCTCTTTAAAAGTCCATTTGTTTTCCTTTCTTCTTCAGTCCTTCATTCCTG